CACCCTTTGAGAGAAAGGTAGTGCAGTCTGATGTGACCAGAATGAACATTAAATTTTAGGCTGACCATATATTTTTTAATCCCAATGCTGAATGGTCCCGTGATCATCTAAGAAGAGTATATATCATAAACAGAAAAATAATTGTAGTGGCAAACTAACTTCAATAATAAGTCAATATTTATTTACCTAAACAGATAAACAGAACAAACATGGGCGGGCAAAAAAGCAGTGGGAGCGAGAGTGACTTCCAACTTCCTGCCCACTTCCCCATTGTTTTTGCTTATGGAAAGCTGGCAGGGAGTGTTGGAAATCTTGATCATGTGACCGTGGGGATGCTGCAATGGCCACAACTTTGCAAATAAAACTGGTATAAACATGGAAATTTAAATTCTACAGGAGTAATGGGTACCAACTTTTTTATGCATTCTTTAAGTTAGCAGATTTTAGGTACCTTGATTCAAAAATTGTGGTATAATGCACCATCTGGGTTAACCTGAGGGTACAAACAGACAAACAGATAAACACAGTGAGAGTTTTAGTAGTAATAGATGTTCAGTTTTTGTTTCAGGCTTCAGGGACAACATAACATGATCATAGTTACTGAACTCAGTGTGCACTTTGTTGTTCTCTTTTTGTACACAGGAAGGTATGCAAAATATGGCTTTTACAAAGTCATTTTTATATGCTCAAAAATATTCAGATGGCATTCAAATCTGCTTTTAGTATTTGATATTCCTTTTCGCACAGGAATGCAGTTTAGGAAGTAAAAAGAAGAGAGAAAAGATACACTTCAATGGAGAGAAGTTAATAATGTCTTTTGAGGTGGAAACAAAAATAAAATCAAAACATAAATGTAATAAATATTATGTTTAATTGCTTCTAGCCAATTTCATAAAAAAGTAAGGTATTAAGCTTGTGTAAGTGTTTTGAAATTAGTGGGTAGATTCAGGTCACTGTTGTTTTAAACAGTGTTGTTTTACTTTATCTGTAGCCATTTGCTTGTGTAAGAAGGCACCAGTATCATGTTACATTATATGAAAATCAATTATTTAATTCAGGCATTACTTTTTAAATTCCTATAATTAAAAAAAATCAGATCACACACATTTGTGTATGTCTGTATGTATGAACTGAATGTGGGAGAGTTTAGTGTGTATGCAAGAAAGATACAATTTTTTCAATTCCGCAGAGGCAAACATGTAGCTGACTCTTGCATCTGCACATTTTATAAAACGTAACTTAAGAGATGAGTTTTAAAGTTCACATATTTTTTTCGTCTCGTTTTTATTTGCTACTCTAGGTGTTAGATGAGAATGACAAAAAGTGTTTTTCATTCCATGCTATGTTGACTTTTCAGATCACCAAATCAAACGTTTTTACCACATTAATGATTGGTTTAATCACGAAAAGTTCCACTGGTTTCTCTGGGTTCTGTGTGGAGAAGCCATTAAAGGCACCATGGGCTGTGTTAAGTGCACAGGCCATAATATGCACCAGGTGTAGTAATTAGCAATCACAAGGAGGCTGCCTATTTGTCTGGTTTGGCTGCTGTTGCTGTATCCCCTTGTGTGTTCACACCATCAGATAGCTGGATTTAATTGAGGCCACATCAGATGAGGCATTACTGACACCTTTAATTGAATGAGCATCCAGGGAGGATTAACTCATAATATTGATTGGCTTTTAGCCACTTGCTCAAAAGGGTGTCTGGGTAGCTTATTAGTTGTTTTTATTTACACCTTCATGCAAAGACTACAAATAGGAATTCATAGTGCAATATGTTTTTCTAAGTACTCTTAATGCCTTTTCTTCAAAGGAGGGATATAAAAAGGCAAATGTATTTAATTTTTATTAGTTATCTATAAAAAGATACTAAAAGTACATATGTGTATATGTAGTACAATGCAGCTAATGATAAATAGGTAAAAACCATTATCAGTGTATTCAAATTCCAAAAATACCTATTTATTATTTTTTTTTTATTATTTTTAACAAATAGTGTTTCAGGAATATTCGCAAGTAACATTAGAAATAAATATATAAGTATTAACTTTCTTCAGCAGAGTGTACATTAATATCATGCTCACTAATAGCATGTTCTTTTGATTTGCTTAGCTGTTACATATTAGTTATCTCAAAAAGTATCAGAAAATATCAGTATTACTTTTGTTTTGATAACATTTAACATAACCTAAACACTTGTGTTTAGAATAGGGGAAAATCACTGTCACTTGCTAGTGCCAAAAATGTTAAATTTAGTGATGGGAGTTATAATGACTGGATCTTGTTAATTCCTTTATGTTCAGTCATTTTATAGCTTCATCAAGTAAGTGTATAATCTTATATAAATTAAAAGATGTGCATATGTTTGTGTGTGCATTCAAGTCAGTGTTGACTCCTAGTGACTGCCTGGACTAGTCCCTGCAGTTCCTTGGCAGGATTTTGGAAGTGGTTTGCCATTGCCTCCTTCCTAGGGCTGAGAGAGAGTGACTGGCCCCAGGTCACCCAGCTGGCTTCATGCCTAAGGTAGGACTAGATCTCCTGATTTCTAGCCTGGTGCCTTAACCACTACACCAAACTCTCAATTAAAGGATGAACATTATGTATTTACTAATCATTTTTATGTCTTAAAATATTTTTATTATAATCCTTATTGTTAGAGTCACCGATCAACATTTTGTACAATTGTTACAAAGTTCAAATTAAAAAGCATAAACATTTCTAAACTCAATAAAAGTAAAAGAGATAGTTTACTATAATAGTTTAAAGCAAATAATAGAATACCAATTCAAAAAAACTGCTAATAAAAAGAAATCCTAAATATTAGAAAACTAATAGTGGGACTATTATAAAACTACATATGAATAAAGTATTTAAAAGTTTGCTTTCTAAATGCTAAGCTGCTAACCATGTATGCATCTTCATGTATGCATGTGTATGTGTGTAGATAGATAAAGATAGAAATAGAGATATACACACACACAGATACACAAACTTAAACAGTGACTGGTGAGGTGCAAATTGAATTATATATTGGTGGGATCCTAAGGTTTAAAGGAGTAATTTCCTATGTCAAGTAATAGAAGCTGAAAGAAAATTTTGTGACTTTCCTACAGATGTTAGGGTTCTGGTCCGACTTCTGGTCTGCTTTTCAAATTTGTCACCACCCATCTTACCACAGAGTGACTCTGGGAGGTTTACAGTAAAAACAGAATAAATATTAATTAAAATAAATAAATACTAATTAATTAAAATACACTACAACAGCAAACTTCCTAAATAATACTTCCAAGAGGCTGATGTTAATTAGATATTAATAAACCTGGGGAGTGTCTTCAAGGCACCAGCCATCCCTAGGGTTGGTTGTATCTCTTCTCACCCCATGCAAGTTGGCAGAGCCAGGTCTTCAATTCCTTCCAGAAAATTGGGAAGGTAGGGGCCTGCCTCACCTCTGGGGGAGAGTATCCATAGGGCAGGGGCAATGGCAGAGAAGGGTCTCCTCCTGCCAGTTGACATTCTCTCACCGATGGGATCCATAACATGCCTTCTCTGCTGGGCCAGGTGGGATGGGTCGATCTAATGATGGTGAGACGGTCTCTCAGATAAGCTGGACCCATGCCACGTAGGGCTTTAAAGGTGATAACCAACACCTTGAATTGGACCCAGAAGCAAACTGGAACCCAAAGCAGCTCCCGCAGCAGAGGTGTTACATGTGCCATCCTTGGAGCACCCAAGATTGCCCATGCAGCTGCATTTTGAACTAGCTGTAGCTTACGGATACTCTTCAAGGGTAGCCCCATGTAGAGTGCATTGCAATAGTCTAAATGAGAGATGACCAGCGTGTGAGTGACAGACCGGAGGGCCTCTTGATCCAAGAAGGGGCGTAACTGGCACACAGCATGAAACAAAGGCCCTCCTGGCCATGACTGCCAGCTGCTCCCTGAGCAGGAGTCATGAATCCAGGAGGACCCCCAGATTATGCACCGGGTCTGTCTGGGGCAGAGCAACCCCATCCAAAACCAAAGATGGTAAACCCCCAGATACAGAGGAGCCTCCAGTCCACAGCCACTCCATCTTACCAGGGCTCAGCTGAAGCCTGTTGTTCCCCATCCAGACCCCCACAGCCTCCAGGCTCCACAAAAGGCTGGTCACGGCATCACTCAAGTCACCCAAGATGGAGATGTATAACTGGGTATCATCTGCATATTGATAATACCTCATCCCCTGTTGGCGGATAATCGCATCCAGTGGTTTCATGGAGATGTTAAAAAGGAGCAGAGAGAGTACTGAACCCTGGGGCACCCCACAGAGGAGGGGCCACAGGCTGGACCTCTCGCTCTCAATCAACACCAACTGGGACTGAGCTTGGAGGAAGGAACTGGAACAGCGCAAAACTCTGCTGCCCACTCCCAACTCCCAAAGATGGCCCAAAAGGATACCATTGTTGATGGTACTGAAAACTGCTGACAGGTAAAGAAGAGCAAGGATGGATGCACTACCCCTCTCCCACCACAGATCATCCATGAGTGTGACCAGTGCCATTTCCGTCCTATATCTGGGCCTGAAACCTGATATAAAGGGTCCAGTTAATCCATTTCATCCAGGATCCTCTGGAGCTGCAATACTACCACCTTCTCAACCACCTTTCCTAAAAAGGGGAGGTGGGAGACTGGACAAAAATTGTCCAATACAGTGGGATACAGTTTGGTGTGCTCTGTATGGAAAGCTATGTCAATACCTGCTGCCAAGCTGCAATTGTAGGTCTAGGTAACCCCATGGCCACAAGGGCTCTACTTGAGAAGCTGTACTGAATTCTAGATTTCCAGGAAGAGGAAAGATTATGAAAAAAGATGACAGCAACCAGGATATTGCTGGAGATTTATTTTTTTTATTTATAAAACTTCTAACCTACTTACAAAATGTGATTATTAATTAGGTTAGATCCAGAATATTAAGGTAATCACTTGAAATCAATGAGATAGTTAAATGCAACATAATTAGAGTGCTTCCATGCAAGACTATGGTTGCAAAACTGTTCATCGTTGGCTATGAGTTGGAACACAAGAGGACCATGTTTGTGATGGAATGTCTAACAGACCTTGAGAACACAGAGGGGGTGCTAAGATAGTTAAGGGAAGAAACAGGGCTGGCGCATTACAGAAAAGAGGGGAAAGTGTAAGAAAGAGATTCAGAGTAACTCTGCTTTAATTATACTAGCTATAAATTGTGTGCGAGAATTACTTTGATAGGTTTTTGAAGTTCCATTATACTACCCTACCAGCAATAAAGATATTTCGAGAAATCCAAGTTTTTGTTTCCTGAACTTGCCAGCCTTACAGGGCTTGACAATATTACATCCTCTTTTATTTGTAACCTTTTCTGAAGAACTCTTCATTTGGAAATATTATTAGTTTGAATCCAGCACATTAGTTAATAACATTGAATGTGGTTTAGTTTATTCCTCTTTAGTTTATGCTTTAGTTTATTCTTCTTTAAAATCTGAATCAATTTGAATTTGAAACAAACAAATATATATCTAAATTGGAAGGGGGGGATTTGCAGCTTTCTTTGCTCTCCAAAATTTGTTCCATAGCTGCCTGGGAAGTAATTCTGAAGTAGGAAAGTGGAATTTTGATTCTTGTTTTTTAAAATCTTTTTCCTTCTACCATCTGGATTTTTTTTATTGTAATGGAAGTTTTCTTTTATTGAAGGGAAACTTTGAATCAAGCTATGCTGTCTGTAATATAAGTGAACAGTAGTCCAAAAATGCATGCCTAATTGTAGTGTCCATTGGTTAGGAATTAAATTAATCTGGCTTGACTGGTGAAATGATTTCCTGGAAATGTTGTGTGAGACAATGAATAGGTGCTGATGTTTCACTAGCCATGCTGCTAGCTTCATCGGAGCAGATCCAAAATGGAATTTGACCTCAGATGTCACCTCCTTATTTGTTACCATATAAACATTTGTTGTTGCCAAGTTCAGTTCCAGATCTGCTCTGAAGAAGCTATCAATAGCTAATGAAACATTAGCACATATTCATTTCATCAAAATGTAGCAGCTATGAAAACCTATACTCTACAATTAATTTGAATTAATATTCCTAAATTAATTTCAAGATGCTCAAGCTGTGTAATACTTCAAGTCCAGCTCCAAAAGAATGTTTCATATGCAACTTTTTAAAGAGCTATGACTTTTCCCAGATTTGTGAAGCGGTTGTGGAGAGTAGACATGTGATCATAGAAAAATGACACAGCTGCTTTAAAAAGTTGCAGACAGGTATTATGTATATGCTTTAAAGCCTGTTCCTAGATCTGAATCTGATGCACTGCACAGCCCTAGAAGGCATACACAGTATACATGGATTGTATACCTAATTTATGTATGTATCTCTGTTTAATTTGCCAAGAAGTTTATGGTTTGATTTTAATGCTGTTTTATAATTCTTTGGGGAACAAAATTTTCTTCTGCTTGATTTTATTTCTTTTTTTATTGGGGCTTTCTTTTCTTGATACACTATATCTGGTGATAGAGGAGCTTAGCAATTTTAAGACACAGACACCTGGAAACTTTTTAATGGTGACTTACTGTAGATGCTGGCTTTAGATCTTTTCTTGCTCTCCATGTAATCTTTTAATGTGAAGTCAAAGTATTGATTAAAATTATAGTTTCCATGGGCCTGTGAAAAATTACTGAATTGGCATTCATTTGCAGCTGCCAATGGTTCTTGCTTGGTTTAACGGGGTCTTCTCTGTTCCTGCACTTTCTTATCTTTCCAATCTTCTTTGCCTTTTCCTTTTTCCCTTGTGGTTGGGATCTTGTTCTCCCCACTCAACAGTATCTCCTTCTCCAGAGTCCATTGATGTTCACAGACCAAGCTCAACAGGATGTCATCATGGTCCTAAAATTTCCATCCAACTCTCCTGTAACACATGTAGCAGCCAACACTCAGCCTGGTTTGGCAAATCCTGCTGTGATTACTGTCACTGTCAACCGACTCTTTGCTGTGAATAAGTGGCACAATCTTCCTGGTGAGTATGGAAATATCGATTACATAATTAGCAAATTAGTGTGTGGTGGTAAGGTACGGAAGGGCTAGAACGTGGTTTTCTATAATAGGTTGAATCTTAAGAAGCATAAGCAGAATTGCATTAGCACAATGGGACTTCCAACAATTTCAGAAATGCCATGCAGTATTTCCAACAAAAAAATTAACTATGCAAATTCTGTATATGTAATTTATAACAATACATTCTAAGAATACTAACCTCATTCTTTGGCATAAAGTCTTTCTAAGCAATATAACCCATGAGTTTTACAACTCCTTGCAGGATACTAGTTTCCTATTATTCTAACTTTAGAAAATCTGGAAGCAAAATTGTGGGCAGAGTTTGAAATGTGGAATCTTGATTGGTTACTTTCAAAAGGCATATAAAAATATCTATAGCTTTGGGTTATCCTTGGTTTGCTGTGTCAGTTTAAGTTTGAATAGTGGATTTCAGCAAACAAATATATAAAATTTCCTACCTTGTAGTTTCAAAACAGCGCTCTCCCCCTCCCTCTCTCTCTCTCTCTCTCTCTCTCTCTCTCTCTCTCTCTCTCTCTCTCTCTCAATGATATATATATATTTATCTGACCCCTTTAAATTTCCAAATGTCCTTTGTTTATCTGCTTTTTACATCAAGTTTTTTTACCAGTCTAGGAATAAGTATAATTAAATACAAATGTTCATGTACCAGTTGGTAAATTGGTTGTAATGCTATTCCTGATAGGTGAACAACTTTACTCCAAATTTAGTCTGAACTGTCAGGGAGTGGATAATGTCTGCTTGTCAGTTGGCAGGATATTGGAGAAAAACAGCTTATCTTTGTGGTTGCATGTACATTTGAGCCAAATAGTACTGGTAAATAGTAAATGCATCCTATATTTCTGTTCTCAATTATTCCTATTTCCCTATTAACCCCTTTGTGCTTCACAAACGCCTCCCTCCTATCAAATCCTTTGTCCACTTCTTTTCCTTGCTGCTTTCTGACAGTCTGTTCATCAAATATCCATTCAGTTTCCTTCCTGAAACAAAACACTGTCCACTGTTTTATTACTACCAGTTCTTTCTCTGTCCTTTCTTGTCCATTAGCTTTTTTATTTTTTAAAAAAAATATTGTTGTTTTACTGTATAATTCCTATCACTAAATTAAAAAAAAATAAAAAATAAAGGAGTAATCATATTTCACTTGACACAGGTAAGTAAAATTGTACACACTTCATTCTCTTGACTCCACGGTATTTAACTGTTGGGTACAGTAGAACATCCATCCTTATAGACAAAAAACGTATATCACATATTAAGATTTTACTGAATCATGAACTTCTGAATTCCACATGAATTATGTAATCATTCCAGCAAAGCTAGTTTTATAACCAGCATATGCTTTGCAATGTACATGTGAAAATGTGAGATATTGCACATATGATTTTTATTATGCTAGCTTCCATTTCTACAAGGTTTCGTTCATATTTTGAGAAGAATGCTCTGGGAAAAATATAATGCATTTTAGCTTCATATACAAAATTGTTCATACATTTTCATAAATCAAGAACAAGTTACAAATGAGATTTTCCTCTGTTTATGCAACTTTTAGATGATGATGATGATACATTTTGTATCGTTTTATATAAAACAATTATTTCCAAGGAATACTAAACTTGTGCTGTGCTATTCAAAGGTGTTGTTGTTGTTGTTGCTCTAAAGAAAGGAGATAATATCTATGATAGTCAGCAAGTAGCTGTCACATTTTATTTTCAGTGTTCTTTACCATTTTTGTTTCGTTTGTTGCAACATGAGAAGCTGCCGGTCAAGCATCTGCTATAGCTTATGGCCCAAATCTCTGGTGATGGCACAGACTGAGAACAGAAATAGCATGTTATAAGCAGCCCTTAAAAGAACTTGAAATTTTTGCTGATAGGGTTTAATAAACGAAAGAAATGCCTATTCTTGAAAAACATTGTCACATAGTTCTTGATTTGTATGATTTTTTTGTTATTTTAGTACCTAAAAATAGCACTATTTCTAAATCTTTTCTCATGATTTTAGCTCATCAAGGTGCTGTACAGGACCAGCCATACCAGCTGCCAGTGGAAATCGATCCTCTCATAGGTCTGTCACTTCCTTCTCTCTTTGCGATTCATTAAGCTCTGTATGGTGGCCCTGAAGTGTAGATTACGGTTGTTTTTCACTTGCTGGTTGCTGGGAATGGAATTTTCCTGATAAACCATTTGCATGCAAATTGGAATGCAATGAGCTGTGGCTATGCTGGTATTTCATCAACTCCCCCTCATTGGTTTGCCTAATTTGAACAGGCCTAGGACGTGTGTCAATGAAAATTAATATGGATGCCGTAATAATGTGTGATTGAGAATGCGCATGAAGTACTGTCAGGATAATATTGGGTCTTTTCATCACTCAGACTTGTTGATGAGCAAGAGCAAGGCATGTTATGATGAATAGGTGCACCAGTAATGTGATGGAGCTCTTTTTGCTGAGGAAATTTTCATAATAACAGTAGGATTCTTAACAGCACTGTGTTGTGGAAAATAAAACTGTAGTGCCAGAATTTCATAATTAAGGGAGATCAATCCTTTTTTTTCACAGACCTGCTGTTCAGGCTGAGGGAATTAATGTGTAATTGCAGAGCAGTTCCAAAGTTGAAATAAATTGCTCAGTCATTTTGAGGTTAGGATATTAGTACTTGTTTTCTAAAATATGGTCGACTTCGAGATCAGAACCAGGGAAGCAGGAAGATGGTTTCTCAGCTAGATTAAACCTTATAATACATGCCACTCACGAGTACTTTATTATGGTGCTGCTGCTTGAATCACAAATAAAAAAATGCACTAGGTGATTTGTGAACCTTTATTTTTAGGCATCAATGAATTTCATATAATATATCCAATAATGTATATATCACATTCTTGGAAAGCATCATTAGGTATTAATCAGATGAACTGATAAACATTTTATATTAAACTTTTAAAGGCATAGGTCTGTTATTCTGTTCAGCCATTATAATGGATGGCTGCAAGTTTTATTCTTGGAGAAAGAGAAATCTGGGATGTAATTTTTCTTTGGAAATATAATGCATACTGCAATAACACACCTGTCCCCTTTTCTTTTATGTTTGTTCCACATTCATATTTAACATGCAACTGATAGATTGGATCCAAAGATTATCTCCTCTTGATGGAGAGAGGGAATCTTGGAATGCAAACTTAGTGTTGTTCACATTAGTACCTATTGAATAAATGCCACTTAAGCTAGGTAGATAGATATGCTAAGTCTAGGTGCAATCTGAAGAAGATACTACCCTAAACACATTAAAAACTGCATCATGTAACTGTTGATATCGTTTAAATTATAGCTAGAAATTTTATCTGGAAATGACACTTAAGCAGTTTGTCTTAGGATGTTTTATTTCTCATAATATTCTTGTAAATGCAAGCAGAACTTACTGTAAATGATCTGCAAAATCATTTTGAGTATTTACATGTTTAAATATACAGTTATATATTCCTTAATGATTTCATTCATTATATATATTGTAGACTACTAGGAGCTTCATTTGAAGAGGGAAATCTGTGGTATATGGACTGCATATATACTGTGCACATATACAACGCTGCATATATACAGTGATGATAAGATATATTAAATACTACATATATAAATATAATGTATAGTGTTTAGTACCTAACACTAGGTACTAAATGTTATTTAATATAAAATGTTTATCAGTTCATCTGATTAATACCTAACAATGCTTTCCAAGAATCTGATATGTACATTATTGGATATATTATATGAAATTCATTGATGCCTAAAAATAAAGGTTCACAAATCACCTAGTGCATTTTTTTCTTTGTGATTCAAGCAGCAGCACCATAATAAAGTACTCATGAGTGGCATAGGGTATCATAGTGATTTAAGTGACTGATCATTTCAGCTCAAGTTTCATCTTTGTTTAATTTAGTAGGTAAATGAACCTAAGGATTTCATTTTTGTTTACCTATCAGTAATCAGAAATAATAATACTGGCCTTCTTACAAACTGTCAATGCTTAGATTCTTAAGATAATATAGATGATAAAGTGGCTTCTTATCTAAACAAAATAAACAAAACAAAGAATTTGTTTGAAAAAGTTATTTAGTTTGTGCAGATTATTATGCATTTAGTAAAAGCTCTCAACTCTATTTTGTTGTCTAAATTTTCTACTTCTAATGTACTATAAACCTGGTTTTCATAAGTTAACTGATTGTTCAAATGTATACATATGAGAATCATATAGGAAATATTCCCATGTTTTTATTATGGCACAATGCTACAAAGGTTATTTTAAAGTTAAAGCCTTAACTATTTACACAAAAAATTACATAGGTAAAATTAGTGTTCCTATACATATTTACACTGAACTGGCTTAGACTGGACTGGAAAATTGGGGGAAAAAAATCTGAAAAAAGGCTTCCATATTCTGTCAAGGCAACAAAAATGGACATATCTATCTAATCACCAGCAGTCAAAACTGACTAGTAGGTGATTTTACATAATCTCTTATAGTTATACTAATAATATTTAATCCTTAATATGAAGAACAAAGATCTCTCTACATAATCCAGTACTACTGTTACGTTGCATATAATAATGGATATTATCCACAAGCAGTGGTACTGCCTAAAAGAGTATACAAAGATTAAGGTGTATTAATGTATACTGTATTTACTAAAATTATAGCCTTTCTAGTTTGTTTTGCTAGCTGAGCTTACATAAAAAATTTATTTTTATCATATCACTAATCTTACTATATCAGTAGAGGTAGTTAGACTGAGTCTTAAAGATGTATTTCTTGAAATACTCTGAGCACACTGTATTAAAATTGGGCAAAAAGAAATGAAAGTAAGGCTCCCAAGAATCACAGGTTCAGATTCTTATTGATTTAAGCATGTTTGGTAAGAATTTAAAACTTATTTTGCAATTGTAATGAACTATTATTGCTTTCTTGTCTTTTCATTTCCCATCCTTTTTAGCCAGCAATATGGGTATGCACAGGAGGCAAATCACAGATCTTCTAGACCAAAGTATTCAAGTCCATTCTCAGTGCTTTGTTATCACTTCAGATAATCGCTATATCCTGGTCTGTGGGTTTTGGGATAAAAGTTTTCGGGTATATTCTACTGATACAGGTGAGTTAATTTCAATGTAATACACTATTCTTTTCTGAAACTTTGGAAAATGTTTAATTATACTGTTAAAACATTGTTTTTGCACAATTTTTACAATGCAGCGAAACTATCTGTTTTGTTTTTAACAATTAAAAAAAGGGGGAATATGGAATTTTATGTCCTTGAAATTGCTTGTACAGCATAAGGAAAACACTTGACTCTTCCAAAAACTTCTGTGTAACTTTACTTCTATGATATTCATCTGATAGGAAACAGAAATATGTCCTTTGTCTCCTTCTTTCAGCCAGTTATCAGAGTAATTAGCAATCTAATAAATAAAACTATTGTTTTCCACCTTTAATCTAGAATAATACAGTGAATTCTATTGCCTCATTCCATGTAGTTAATGCTGCATATGTAGTCAATGTGTATGCATTCAAAAAAGAGGTGAGACAGTACAAATGAATGTGCCAATATAGTAATCTGGAACATAAACTTGGGTATTAAATATGTCCTTGGAAATGTGTTCAATAACAGTCAAAATGTGTTGTTAAGGCATGTTTTCTCTTGTTCTCTAGTGACTGAGAAATGGAGGAATATAAAGTTAAATCACTTTGTTCTTTTCATATGATTCAGTTATTAATAGTGTATGTATGTTTGAAAGCAAAATACACTTTTTTTCTTTATTAATCCATTTAAAGGAATGCTGTATTCTGCTTGCCTGTGGTCTGACTGCAACTTTTAAACAGAAATATTGTGCTATTTATATTTGTTTTGAGTATGCAAAGAATATTTGGGTGTAAGGTTGTGATTAATTACCTGTCCTGTTCTTGACTTGTGAAAGGAAGGAAAAATATACAGGATAAGATAACAAGAATTGGCCATAGCAAGTTGTCACAAATGTGGATTTCAATTATATTTTAGCATTTATGCAAAATAACCTTCTTATTAGATTTCAGGTGAGAGTATTGTAACAGGAAATACCTTGAATATAAATTATGTATTCTGAGAACAACTAGTATAGCAGAACTGCAATCAATGCTCTTATAGTGGTGCACATTATTTTCAAACAGGTTTTTAAAGTCAATACTACAAAAACTGGTGCCTGTTTTTTTTTTTAAAGGATTACAGCTGTCAAAATGTTAACTAGATCTGACTCCAGTGTAAGTCAGTTTCCTGTGTTCTCTAAGAAATATAAAATTAACACTTTAGAATTTGTCAAACAAACTTCAGAAAGTATTCCTTTGTTGAACTGACTGAATGCAGAGACTAACTTACTCTGCAGGCTTTCTCTACCTGTCCACACTTCACTGGATAATCTTAGAATTTTAATTGTGTATTAAAAAATAAAAACAAAGAGTTCAGGCACATCAAATACTAATTTATTGTAGCTCACCTGTTTTGTAGACCATAGTTCAGAAATATGTGCAGCACCAGGTCAAAGGCATAATGCATCCATGAACTGAATGGCTGAATGTGCATGAATCTCTTTTAGGACACTACAGGGGTATTGTGCAGGATCTTTCCCCTGTTCCAGCAGTAATTATTATGGGCTACTTTATAGAGCTGCTATAACCTATGCTCAGCCACAGGGCTACCCTCATTGTGAATAAAATATGAATGAATTTTGAATGGACAAAATACTTTTTAAATACAATTATTTCTTATCTGAATGATAGAATAATGAAATTATAAAAGAAGCATGAAGTTGTCATTGCCACTACCTACTGTTTATTTAAAACTTTGTTTTCAATAATCAGGACTAGAAATCTGACAAATAAGTGAAAATAAACTGTGAAATCCCTTTTTCTGGCAGTTGCTCACTCTGTGCTATGGTTGACAATGCTAAACAAATATCAAGGGATATGAAGGCTGTGAGTTGGCTAAATAAACTAAATGGTGGAAGCAGGCTCTTTTCTCAGAAGACAGCTGAACAGACAGTGCCTTGGCTTCTAGAACAACCGGGGCCCTTTTATATTTTATTCTTTCCAGCTCAGTGGAATGTTGGAAATAAATTATGCAATGAGGTTGAGGCTCAGTCCATCCATCAATATGAACAGAACGGGACCAGCTTTGATGGGAAGAGAGAGGGTGGCAAAAGGAAGATCAAGTTTAAACATGGCCTGGAAGGCCGAGGGCTGTGGAGAAAAAAACATTCTGGAAAATTATCCCAATGAATCTGTGTGGAAGAGACAGCTGTGCAGCGGCTTGGAACGTTGCTTCCCATGACCCAGAGTGGAGTGTTTGCAGTCCACCCCACACAGGCACACTAATACACATCAACAGAACATTATGGGAGAGCACACATGATGTCATTACACAGAAGAAAAGTACAGCCACTGCTGGTAAAGGATTGGAAGTAATTTCAGAATCCATGCTTTGCAAGCTCCTTTTCTAAATTTGAAAGTTGGGAATGTGGGTTAGCTAATGGAGCATCTAAGAAAAGGATAGGGGCTTGCTGTCCCTTTCACCTTATGTTATTCACGATAACAAATAAATGGGGCACAGCAATATCAGTCATGGTCCTGCTAAACTTAAAAAGAATTTTAAGAAAAATTCTGCAAGTGTAAAATTCTGCAATTGTAAAATGTAAAATGGTGGAAGTTCCTGATAAATGTGATACTTCATCTACTTGCAATTATTTGAGAGTGAGATAGGGTTTGTTTACTGTTATATTATTGACCATATTTACAACAATGTATAGATAAATAAATTTGTCTTATAATTAATTTGGCAAATAAATTAGTTTTCCATGTATGGATGACCTAAGGAATCATTATCTTAAGTTAAATCTTTCTTTTAAAAGTTTTTATTGTATTATCCACAGGTGTTGGATGCATTGTGATTGTGACATAATTATCCAAACTCTGCCCTTTATGTACTTTTACACAACACTGAGACCCAGCTGTGAAATAGTGGAGCTTGTATCATGTTACAACCCATATTTCATTATCTGGTCTTCATCATAGATAAGAATGGATGCCTGTGGCACTATGTTCCCTTGGGGATTTTTTTTTTAAAACATGACATAGAAAGCTTTGAAATAAGTTTAAATATACGAAAGAATATTCAAAATACATGAAAAAGTGTTAAAACACATGTTTCATGTATTTTGAATATTCTTTCATAGTATTATAATACTAATATTAGTATAATACATATAATATTATTCCATATTTTAAGATCTAAACTATGAAGTATGTGTTTTAACCTTGAAGCAAAGTGGAATGTGTGTATGTGTATTTGTGTGTGAGAGGGAGAAAAGAGGGTGAAATATAACTTGAGTGTCTTTGCTTCAGAATGTGCCAAGTTTAATACCTAGCATTTTGAATCAGAGAAGATCAACAAAGGAAAGCCCTATGGCAGTGACCTTAAAGAGTCAATATTATATGGAGTAGATGGTTCCAAACTGGATGAATCAACATAGTCTAACTCAGGATATGTATATGCAGTATTCATTCATTCATTAATTTCATCCTGTCTTTGAAGCTCAAAATGCCCTATGTTGTATTTTCTTTTTTTTACAGCAGTGTCTATGTGTGCTGTGACTGCTGAGTTACTCACTGAGCTTCTGTAGCTGAGTGTAGATTTGAACCTGGCTCCCTCAAATTCTAGTCCAATACCTTAATATCTACACAGCTCTGATCCTACAATGAATGAAAAATCTGCTTGTATGTTTCAGGAAAACTAATGCAAGTTGTATTTGGACACTGGGATGTTGTTACCTGCCTTGGCCGCTCTGAATCTTACATAGGAGGAAACTGTTATATTCTCTCAGGGTCTCGTGATGCAACATTGCTGCTGTGGTACTGGGATGGTAAAACCAATAGCATTGGTGATAACACAAATGGTAAGGAGATCTTTATCATTCTGACTTTCTATCTGTGGCAAATCCAGTGTCAAATACTGTTAAAGTTGAGGAACTGGGAGACAAGGACAAAATTTGCGGGAACCATTTCCCAAGATTACAGACACTATATTCATATTCATTTGGTGTAATTACTGCAAGATATTCTAAAGGACATTATTTCCAGAGCGATAGCCATTTCAATCTGTGGCTGCAACCAAAAAAATAGATAAATAAATAACAGCCTTGCAGAATCATAAAAACGAATGCACGCATATAACATTTCATGGATCACAGTCTGTTTGATCAGATGCCTGGAGTAATATTTTGATATTTGAATACATTGATTTGGTTGGTTCATCCAAAAAGTAAATTGGTTCAAATTTAACTGCAGTCTTCTTAGGTAAAATAAACTCTGTGTGTGTGTGTGTGTGTGTGTGTGAGAGAGAGAGAGAGAGAGAGAGAGAGACATAGAGGGAGGCTAAGTTCTTGTAAGGTTTAAAGTTGTTAATGTGATGTTGAACTATATACTGAAACCTTCCTGAATTATGAAGAAGTTATATGGACTTATCATGCTTGGAATGAAATTAAAACAATGATTTGGGCGGTTAGAAATTATCACTTTGGATTTTGACTGAAGAAAAGTGTTCACTCTCTGACTTTAAATTAGCCCTTTATCAGATAAAGTGGAAAGACCGATCAGTATGATTACAGTAACTCAGTATCAATAGCAATATGTAACAACTTTACTTTGCTGTTTAAAAACTGACTTGCTCTTACATATCAATTGTAGTGTCAAGTTTTTGTTTGTTTTTTTCTTTCATACTGTTTACATTTTGGCTTTTTAGTTTGTCTTTTCTTTTTTGTACATTATAGCAATAAAATTAAAAATTAAAAAATAAGTTCATTTGAAAAGATGGCTAATAATAATAACAACAGCAACAACAAAATCACCATCAGTCAATTGCAAAAGGCAGCTTTACTTGGATTAGTAAATATCCTGCGACTATATATTATTATATATCCTGCGACTATACCTTTAACACCATCAAACAACATCTGCCTATCCCGGGTCCTTGGGAAGGACTCGATAGGTGGATAAAAATGCCAAATCCAGTCTAAACAACTGTGTGACCAACCATAATAATGCACTCTGCACTTCAGGAGCTAAGAGAGGTTTATGTGGGTATTTATATTATTTTATCCCAACTGCAACAACTTTGTGTGCTTACAGAATCTGACTGGCCTAAAGTCACCCAGTTACTTTCCTTGGATAAAGAAAGGGTTTGAACCTAGATCTCCCCAATCCTAGTTCAACACTTTAACAATACCTTACATTCCTATTCAGGAAGATATTTTTCCTAGTTCAAGTAGAGTCACTTGATTTTTGTCATGTGCTCCTTCTAGTAGCCACTCCGTGCAATTAGCTTATAGAGAAACAAACACAGAAACCAACATTCCTGCATTTTGATTTTCAGCAAATCGTTACATATTTTTGTAACCTGTTTAACCTGTTCAGGAAAAAATATATGAATCTATTTAGTTTAGAATCTATTGTTTTTAAGTCTTTTTAAAGAAAAAAACTGAGTTCTTATACTAAACAACATTGAAATTTATTCTTCTAAATCCAGATTAGAAGGTATTTACAACAAAGTAAATGATCAGGGCTGGCAGATCTTTAAAAGTAAAATAATTTACACTTCTAGAAAAGAAAATTATTTTGCACTTACAGAGTAATCAAATTACTCTGATCAGTTGATCATTTTGAAGTACCATATGAACTAGTCTGCATGTACATTTAGAAAGGTATGTAAAGTACCAGTTATATTCCCTTTATGACCTCTTGAGCAGACAAACTAGTTGCTTTATTCATCATCATGAATTTTAGATGTTTTTAAAAAATATTTTCTTGAAAATTATTGCAGTTTCAGAACAGCCTTTAACCAGCATCCAAACCTCTTTTTAAAAACAGTCTCTCTGAACATAATCAAGCATCTTAGAGTGACATCTGCTGGCAATTATTTGAAACTGAAATGCAATTCTTGGTAATAGCAATTCAGTGTGAAAAGTTTGTTTTATAATATTGAAACTAAATCCTTCCCATTGTACTTCAGAGCCATCAAATTTTCAGTTTTGTATCACAATTATATGTCATTTTTGTCAGTGTGTTCACTTCCATCTGAAAGGTCACTTGGATTCATTAAGTGACTAGAAAAGATTTAGAGCCAACTTGATTTCAGATACTTAGTTTTCATCATGCAGCAATTAAAATTGAATAGTCAAGCTGCCTCTGGTTTACTCAAATGAGTAGTTATAAAAGAGATATGCAGGCTATGAAGTTTCTTTTTGTGATTGTAAAATTTCTGATTACAGTCCTAGGATGTATTTGTAGCTTTTGTGCCATATCACACTTTTCTATCATGAATAGTTTTGAGGTTTTGTTTTACAAGTGTCTACAGAAATATTCAATGTCTCGCATATAATATGGATAATTCTTGGTTGCTGCTGACTCTTTCCCTGAAATAGTTTCCAAATAGTAAATAAATAATTTCCATATAATTAATTTTGAAGGGGAGGAAGTCAATGACATCATTTTTTAAAAAAATTTCCACTAGCTGTTTTCAGGGAAAGAAAAAATCATCAGCAATCTGTACTATTTATTTAGGCCTTGAAGAAGAACAATGTGCAAAATTAGAGAAAATTCATTGAAATCAATGACACTTAAATTCACTAAAGCTAACTTAAATCCCATTGATTTTAGTAAACCTGCTGCAAAGATCTTTCATCACAAGTCATAATTTTCTATTATCTAAGCTGGTATTTGAATTTATCAGGAGGCCAATACAAAAAATGAGAAAATTCAGAGTTAAACTGAGCAACAGTGAACTCTGCCACCATCTCTCCTTTGCGTATGTTACCAAACCAGAAACATATATCAAACACTTTATCCTCACTTCTTTAGTGTGTAAAGCACTTCCAGTGCATTTCTGCCACTATCTTGCACTGCCTGCATGTGCCTGGAAAATGATTTGGTAGAGCTAATCTATTGTAGAGCTATTATTGTTGTGATTTGAAGACTTTAGATGAGGAGCAGAATACATTTTCCTGGTATTTTTTACACAACACATAGCATGGAATACATAATAGAGTTGTTGCCATTATAGAGTTGTTCAATCATCTTGAACGCTTATAATATATAAGGCTTAGTTTCCACGCGTAATATTTTTCTCTGGTATCCTGTAAAAAAGAGTATGAACAAAATGAATGAAAGCACAAGAGCCAAACTCTATAGCATAAATTCAGAATCAGTTTGAAAAGAAGGGTTTTTGCCTTCTTTAATTTTCTGGGTTTTATGTTTATTCTCCACTCACATGGAATATTGGAGAGAAATTATATAAAAGGGCTTGGGATTCCATATGTCTGTTCATTGATCTGTTTCTCTTCAGCAGAATAGCTCCCTGGAAACAGAATAGAATGAAATCAAATTTAGTTGTGGTAGGACGAGACAGCAAAAGAAATATTGGTTTCAGAAAGAAACGGGATCCAGCCAGGGGCTGTGGAGAAATCAAATTGAGAAAAATGTCCCTCAATGCCTCCTATGGGAGAGGTGGTGAAACTGCATTCTCAGAATGCTGTCCGCTTCTCCATTTAATCCCCTGCTCCTGTTCCTGTGATCCAGACTGTCCTGTGCTCTCCAGTGCACACCTCCCAACGCAATGCAAAGTCCAAATGCAAGCAAAGACACCTAGGGGCAACACATATGCACCACTCTGATTAGACCTTTACATGCACACAAACCGTATGCAGAGGCAACACATAGGAAACTCATGTATATGCACATACCCAGATAACACTTATGTGCTCAGTCTGGTTAGACCCTGAAGACAAAGTGAACACATATAGACTCATTACTTAATTATGGAAAAGAAAGTGCAGATGCTTCCTATGGTGACTGCTGGTAAAGGGGCTGTGAAGAATTTGAAAAACCACGCTTGCAGACTCTCCCTGCCTTGATTGTAAATGTGATTCTTGCTTCCTACTAGATGTTCCACATTTGAGTGGAAATCTCAGTTCACACACTCTTTGGTCATCTCCCACAATAGATGTTCATTATTCATTCCTCCCCTCCCACTGTGCTGACAAATACGTATAATGGGTTTTTGTTTTATAGAGAACTAGAATAGTATTTGTGTTTCAGATTAGATGCAGAACAATTTTTAGTACTGCTGTATTTAAGCTCAGGTATCACTAAAATGAAACATGAAATTTTACAGAATGACCAGAATGCTTTAATGCTCCATGATGTAATGCAGGTCTTTGTGTTCCAGTTCTTTATTGCCTTGTATCCAATGCTATTTATTGTTCTTATAAAGTTCTTTCATATAGTAAATAAGTATAATGCATGCCATATCTGTGGCATTGGGTTACAGATTTTTATATAATATTTACATTATTAATCTGTTCATTCAGCCCCAAATTCTTCTATGAAATTTATGTGATAGAATAAAAGGATGGAATTATAGTGATATAATACTGTAAGTTCCTGGAAACCATTGGACATGTTTTTGTGTGCATGCCTGCAACAATTTCACCATGTATAGTTTGTTCCTGCTTGAAGAATTGTTTTCAAACTTAAATACTTCATAGCTTTGCTCTACTCTGACAATCACTTTAGGTTTTTTAGGTGATGCATGTAAGTTTTGTTAGTCTATTTCTTTTAAGTTAAACATACTAAAGCATCAGCAGCAAGATGGCAGTGTTATTTAATTACAATGTGATAGTATTATTCATATTAAATATTAGAATGCTATACTGAGTTTGTATTTGCAACACAGCTGAGATTTTTTTGTTCAGCTCTCAGCTTCTTACACAATTAATTAATTAATTTAGTAGATTTATATGGGTGGCTAACTCAAGTATATGACTCTGGATGAGTAACAATATTTTAAAAAAGATAAAAACAATATATAAAAAACATAAAATATACAGCAGCCAGGAAAAAATTACAAAATGTCAGTCACCTTCAACATAGCCACAAAACGGGCTCCATCAAGCACCTGAGTCCCCAGGCTCAAGCAGAGCCAAGTCTTCAAGGCCTTACGGAAGGCCAAGAGGGAGAAGGCCAATCTAATCTCCAGAGGAATTATATTCCGGAGGGCTGGCGCCATGACAGAAAATTATTTAACTACAACTCATAAGCAGCCTAGTTTTGCTTGTTTTAGGAAAGGTTGTTTTTTTTTTTTTAAAAAAAGAATTGGTTACTTTGTAAAAGAAAGATATAATGGAAGACAATTCCTAATTTGTTGAAGTAACTGTTGCATTGTATACAAACCATTATGTTCACTCAGTTACCTCTTGAAGAAATGCAGATCCTTTTTAAAATTTTTCATTACAAAAGTCAGGCCTGGGAGAAAAAAATAGTAATTTCTTCATAACAGTGCAAACATTACACTGTCGTGTGAATATTTTCGAACTGGAAAAGAAGTTGACCTAATTTCAAGAGTTCCTACATGAATCATGCAATGTTCTTTTTACATTTTTAAATTTGAGTTCAATGCTTTAAAATACACTTTCATTCTAAAAGAGTTATAGTTTCAGCTAACTGGGAAAAAAAAAAAAGAACTCTTCAGAATAAACCAGTTGTTTTGTGTCTGGTAACTCTTGAGCCAAAATATTGTTTTGTATGGTTTATAAGTCAGACTTTATTAGACTCTGAGGGTGATATTAAATACCAAATATAAGTTTTAAAAGCAGTGCTTAACAAGTTTGAAGTAATTTTAAATATAATGTTCTACAAAGCAGATATATGAAATAGTTGTATTTTAAATACTAGCAAGAATTTTTAATTTCATTTGATTTGTTAATCTTCCTATACGGATTTCCATAAAGATGAACTCAACATTCTTTTTATGCCTTCCTTAAAGTAATCATGAACCTGTTTAAGGGACAAAGCCTTGCTTCTTTGAAGTCACTAGCCTAGGATTTCAAAGAAGACATCTAAGCTACTTTGAAAAGTTTAAAGAAGTTTGAAGTGGTGCCCCTTAAAGCAGCCACAAAGTAAAACTTTCCCTTTGCTTTGGTGAAAACCATGACAATCTTATGAGGCAGTAAGAAATCTCTTCTATTCTGCCATCAGCTTGTGAGTTGAGCCCATTATTTGGAAAAATCAGAAGCATGAAGACCCCTAAATACCTAACATTATTATCAAAGGAGGCAGGCTGACTTTTCAAAAGATTCATGTTCTATAAGTAGAAGGAAGACCCTTCAGTGAAAAAAATAACATAAGCTTTTGAATATATCACTTTCAAATCCGTGTAACCAGCAAGTATTTCATTAATTAAAGAATCATACATAATTCATTCAGTAGTCATGTGTATCTATAGTCATTACATATTTTTAAAAAACAAATATATTAAATTGAATACATCTCAGAGTATATTTCTGTAAGAGAGATCCTGCTGTTACAAGGAAGTTGCTAGTTAAAATGTATAATAACATACATAGTAAATAGGGTAACTAACATATTACTAGGCCTAGACAAAACTGTCAATTCTGTTATTTGTTGGTATGTGCATTTTACACAGTGTAGTGACTGTAATAGTAATTTCTCCACTTTTATATGTTATATGGAAAAATACATATATATTAACATATATTACTATACCTACAGTTTAGTAGCATAAATTACTGTGATTAGTAACATATTACTTGTATTGCTTTTGACTTGTGTCTAATGTTATGCTTCAAAACTATCTGATTTACTGATTTTGAATATTTAGCATTTGAATGTTTGATATTATTATGGAGCATTCTTCATAAATTTTTCAAATGCCACACCAATCTAACAACGTCAGAGTAATCTTTATCTCTTTGGATGAATTCATTATTACTTTTCCCTTTATAAACATGCACTCTTGCTCATGAGTCTTGTAACCATGAGTCTAATGTATTTCATATACAAAGTTCTAGTTGAAAGTCCTAATTCATGGAAGTGGTAGAATTATATTCAAGGCTGACTCTAGATGTTTTCAGACTCTTAGCCACATGACCCCCAAAGTTTTCTGGATAGTCTGTGTTAAATAAGAATGGTAGCCTTTTGGTGAGCTCACACTGAATGCCTGACCTTACTATTCTCCAGCCATGTTACTGCATCCTTTTAGTAGTGTATAGATTTGAATTACACAATGTAGCTAACTGGTGAGTTTGAGAAATAACCTTGACTTCATTTGCATAGAAAAGTAAGTATTAATAACTCTCCATGAGAATGAGAATGACATTGAAACAGCAGGTTTTAGCAGTGTACCTTTTTATAATATCTGGTCTGGCTTTAAAATAAGCTATAGATTGTATTCAACATTTTTTTTTAATTACTAGGCCTAGACAAATCTGTCAATTCTGTTATTTGTTGGTATGTGCATTTTACACAGTGTAGTGACTGCAATAGTAATTTCTCCACTTTTGTATGTTATATGGAAAAATGCATGTATATTATATCCACTTTTCTAGAAATTGTACAGTTTAGGCACAATTAGAAAATAAAGAACTGCAATTCACAATTTGATACAATGCAAATATAGAAAGATAATTGCATTTCAGCTTGCATATTAGGTTTAGGAAGTACAAATCAAGAAGGTTTGTGTTAAAATGCAAATCAAAGATTTTTATTATAAAGTTTCTAGAAGTTACTACAAACTAAAATTGAACACGTATGTAAATACACCAAATTATCAGTGCTGCCAAAAGTGTTACCACTGAAGCAATAGAACATTAAAATAAGACCAGCCAAATTAACTGGCATCATTATTCAAAAGTTTCTATAGAAGTGGTACAATTTTAGCGTAAAGTGTTTTGATCAAATCATGTAAAATTATCTTTGTGCAAATTAAAAAAAAACAGTGATGATGAGAATAGATCACTGGATGCATCTTGCCCATAAAATCCCTTAAGCAGTATCCAATGTTCTTAAAATGCAATGTATTTGCTTCTATGCTTCAGGATGTTAATTTAATAAATAAAACTCTGAGCTTTACCATTGGGCTATGGTCCCCACTCAGTTGAGTTGCATCTTGCATGGATAGTTCTTTTAATACAGTAATGGAACTCCTTGCACTGTTGTTTGCTCTCTGCTGAAAAGAATTCTTCATACATCTTTCCATCTATAGTTGCCATGGGGAAGGATTGATTTTTGGTGAAACACTAGTCTTGTGGACTTGCTGAATTACTTTTTTCAGATTCTGAATGTATCTGTTGTCTGTTATAATGTTCAAAGTGGTATGATAGGTAGCAGTCAGTGGTGTTCACTTAGGTTTGGTACATGATTTGACAAACCATAGCTTGTAGCAAAACCTAGTATATAGAGCTCTGTGCCATAAAAAAAATTTGGTTTTCATAGTATCTGCTCAGAAGCTAAATAGCTACATATATGAACAGCATAATTCCAGTTCATATGTTTCCTTTTTGCTCATTAGAACTGAATTATACATTTGCTTGAAATGTGAAAATCTTAGAACACATTGTGTTCTTGCTTGTGAAAATCACACTGATTATAGGTTACTAAGAAATGTTTGTTTTACTTATCTACTTACAGGTGAAACAGCTGCTCCTCGGGCTGTCTTGACTGGACATGATTATGAGATTACCTGTGCAGCAATTTGTGCTGAACTTGGTGTAGTGATAAGTGGTTCTAAAGGTACATTTTACTGCAGTCTTTTAAAAAGCTTTCCTTGAAAATACTTATTTCTTACAATGAAGAATCTTATAACAAAGATGCTTATACTTTTAGAATAGGAGCAAGACCTATTTTTTTGGTCTGGAAAAATTACATACACACACACACACAACGCAAACAAACAAAAGCAGTGCAAGTCACTTTACTAAAGTGATACCATAAACAATATTAAAAAGCCTCATACTAATATATTATGCCCTATGCAGGATGAGTTATACCCTTGTTACAGTTAGTTTCAAGTAACACATACAGATTATGTTTACTGGGACTCCTCCTCTGGTCAGGATTAAGAGAGACAAACCCTGATTGACTCTCAAAGGGAAGCTTATATATTCAACAATAACCTGTAATAGTCTGTCTGAAATACATTTCCCCATCCCCAACAGCACATATCCACAATACATGTACTAATAAAGACAGCCCTGAATCCTCTTATACATGATCATAGTATGACAATATGATTGGCCAAGCTGATAAGGATTAACATTAATCTGATACAAACACAGGAACAATCAATTCCACTTGCATATTATAAAATAAAATGTACATTTTATGTAGCTAAAGGGTTTTTTTTAAAGAAAATCTAGAAGCTGGAAGTGGAGCATAAAAAGCAACTGGAAGAGTGATATATTCCATCTAGCTCCATAAGTACAGTCATAGCATACTCAGGATCTGAGTGTTTGCCATGTCTGGGCATTGCTCACAAGGCTGCCTTATACAAGATATAAGAAAACAAAAGGCTGTGATCTCATAATGAAAGCAAGGAAAAGTTTTGACAGCATTAATAAAAGCCACCAAGGTACCCGCAGACATGGCTGGCATCAAGCTAAGTGAAGACATGAAATGTAAGCTGAAACCAGGTTTATAGAGTTGTATCCACTGAAACTTGAGTTTTTAGCAAATATTTCACAAGAAGCGCTTCGGTTTGAGGCAAGCAAAACTACATAATCATGTTCATCAGAAAGTGGATCATAATTGAGGTTTCCACAGGGAGGGGTTCCCAACAGGATGATGAGAGTTTAAGAGAGGAAAGGGGCACATTTGTTTTGCAGGGAAAATATTGGTGTGTGTGGGCAGGGGGGGGGAATGGATATTGAAATATCTGTAGTTTTGTCATTGAATTTCAGTGATGAGATTCATGGTGAGTTTTAAACTGGACCTGGAGGCTGCCTATAGTCATTGATTTCTCATTGCTGTTTAAAAGTATTAAAAATAACTTCTAAAAAAAGAAATTAGCACTTCAACAAGCCTGAGCATCTGTACACTAAAAGATCAAGAAATAAACACAGCAGAAATATAGTATGCTTCACTTTCATCACAACTTAATTCTATGGCTAGAAGATACCAAGAGTGCTTTTAAATTAATATCCTATTTGTGGTCTTCTCAAGGGAATCTGACCACTACAAAAGAAAACATTACCTGTATAGGTTTTCAGTTTGATCCATTGATCAGGTTCATTTGACCAAGTTTTCATCTATTTCAGTTATCCCTTGGCTTTATTTCTCCAGATGTTTTGTTTTGATAGACAGGGTTTCTCACATGCATTTTGTCCTGAAAATGCCTTTTGTCAAAGTGTATTTTACAGCAAATATACTTTTCTGTTTCTGTTGACAATTAATCAGCCGTTCTACTTTTGAACTTCTTCCCCTTTTATTCTGCTTACCGTATGGAAAAAAAAACGTATTGGCCCCCCCTCAGTCTGAGACCAGTGTTAATTGATTCATTTCCAAAAGAAGAGAATTACTCCATTATTTTTTAATGTTAACCATGCCTTAGAATGTGTGAACTCTAGTTGGCATGTGAAATCTGTTCCTGTACAGATATAATCCCATTCATCCTAAAGGACGTTGTTTCTATAAGCCCGTGGTTAGAATTAGTTTTGTTGGAAGGCCGCTTCATCCAAAAGAAAAAAGAGTAACAATGAATTTATTCATAAATCTCATCCTTTTATATTGTAATTTGCTTGCTACTTAATTTTGCCTATTTTTAGTATATACTATTATATAGGTTCCCTCATAAATGTGGACATTGACTGCCCCCCCCCCCCCATTATTGCACAGTAGTTGTTGCAGACTCAAGGTTTGGAGAGTTTAGGAAGTTGAGGATGGTTTGTGGAGTTGAAGGACAGTTTGGAGGCTGTTTTTTGAATTGTGGAGCCCTCCAGGAGTTCCCCATGCTGGATGTCAGGACTGGGGCCAAGATTCTGTGCTCTAAAACGACCAGTATGATCTGGGCCTCTTCTCCAGCCCTCAGGTGACTGGGGCCACAGGTGACTGCTTCTTACAGGCAGGAAATGATGTGGGAGCCTCTTTGAGTGATGACAGAGATGGTGGAGTTGGTCTGTAATGGACAACATGCTGATTAGCTATTTTGCAGCCCACAGTGCAGTGCTATAAAGAGGAGGAGCTAAGTCTGCCTGTAATAACACTTCCTGCATCTGTAATTTCATCATGGATGAAAGGACAAGTCTGGCGTCCAGTACCAAGACTTGGATGGGTGCTGAGGGAGGGGTTGTCCTCTGAGCTAGAAGTGCGGTATCAGCCAGACCCCACAGCAGGGGTGGTGGAATGGCCTGGTCATCTGGGACTTTCTGGTGATGTACAGAGGTGTTGCCCCAGAGGTGACTGGGTGTGATACCAATTTGTTAAGTTTGGCTCTAGGGGTCAGATGGGATTGTTGCTTTTGTACCAGCCTCCCTGTGCATAGCAACCTCTCTGCCTGAACTGCTGGGCTCCATGGCTAAGTTGATGGTGAGTTCCCAAGGCTTATGGTCTTGGAAGACTTTAATCTGTCTTCTCTGATCATTTTCATCCTTAGTTCTGGTGGGATTGCACTACCCCAGACAGAACGGTGTGCAATTTGGATGTCTTCCTATACTCATGTCTGTTGTTCAAAGAGCAGTGGCAGCCATGGCCAGGTGGGCCTTTGCACAGTCTTGTGTTGTGCACCAATTGCATCCCTTCCAGGATCAGGAACACTACCCAGTCACTCATGCTTTGGTCACTTCCTAAGTGGATTACTGCAATGCACTCTACATGGGGCTATCCTTGAAGTACCCCTGAAAATTCAATCTGGTCCAGAATGCAGCAACATGGGAAATTATGGGTGTGCCATTCAGTATGCCCATATTACAACTTTGCTTCTCCAGCTGCCGGTTTGCTTCTGGATGCAATTCAAGATGTTGGTTATTATCCATAAAGTCCTACATGACATGGGACCAAGGTATTTGAGGTGCTGCCTTACTCCCATTGTTTTTACTTGTTCCATTAGGTCGGGCAGGAGGAGCATGGTCCAGTTCCATCAGTTAGGGATTGTCATCTAGAGGGACCCAGGACCACAGCCTTTTCCATAGCGTTGCCTGCCCTCTGGAACATCATACTGCCTGAGGTTCAGCTGGCCCTGACTTTGCTCACCTTTCAGAAACCTTGGAGACATGGTTGTTTTCCCAGGCATGGGGGACTGGGATAGTAATTGAGCCCAAGTTGTTGTTTTATAGCATTTTCAGGAGCTACTTTGTGTTGGTTAGGGAATGTATTTTGTATATATTATATTTATATTGTATTTTTTAGTCTTTGTTAGCCACCCAGTGTTGCATTTATGAGATGGGTGACCACATAAATAGATTTAAATAAACAAAGACACCTCCATGCTTGCTTAATATAAATATTATGTTGTTTTTATGGTTTTGGAATACAGCAGTTGGAGCAAAAAGGTTTGGTTAAACAAAGTCAAAGAACTGATACAATCAAAGAGGGGACAGCCTGTTGCCCTCCAGATAATGCTGTTTCCCAGCAGCGCTAATAATATGGCAATTGATGAGGAATTCTCGGAAATGAACTGTGGTATAGCAATGTCTGTTTGTCATCTGTACATCTACAAATATCTATTCATAGCTATTAGAGGCCATTTACAACTGAACATTAAAATCACAGTTATTTTTAGTTTTAGTAAAGTCAAATCAGTTTAGTATATTTAGCAAGGGTTAATACTGAATTTTTAATGGCTGTATTTTTTTTAAACCTCCCTCATCAGAAGGATCGTGTCTCATACATTCTATGAATGGGGATCTACTGAGGACATTAGAAGCTCCTGAAAACTGTCTGAAAGCAAAACTTATCCAAGCATCAAGAGAGGGTCACTGTGTCATATACTATGACAATGGTCATTTCTGTGTATTCAGTGTGAATGGAAAACTACAAGCCACTATGGAAACAGATGATAATATAAGGGTAAGCATGTCATACTGAAGTCTTATTTTTAATTTCTAGAAGTTTAATATCCTTTAAAATATATCCCACTCTGTATATTGTGTTTGGTAATTATTGAATATTATTAGTTCATAAGTATATATAAGTAGTTCATAAATAGTAGTTCATAAATTGTTTAATGTCACATATGAAATAGTTGTAGTATCTGAATAGTAACTGGCATTAATTTTGGAAGTAACTTTTAGTGTTTTCATAATTCAAAATAGGAATGATATAATCTTTTCCTGCACAACATGGTGCACACCACTTTTTTCAGACTGTGGGCCACACTTAGGTTGAATAGCATATTGAAGCTGTGCTCCAAAAAAATGGCTAGACAAAAAAATAAATTTCAATTTAATTGAAAATAAATGAATATTTATTATTGTATTCTGTGTATTCAATAATTTTCTACTTCTATCTTTTTAGAAATTACAATTTCAAAGCAACTTTTAGAGTTACATTGGACTGCACCCAAAGCTCAGGGAGACATATGTAGTCCTATAGACAGTACCCATCACTATGGAAGAGCATAGTGGCTACACATAATCTGTATTGACATTTCAGAAGAACACTGTTTATTATTTTCCTTGATTTAATGCTTGTCAGAGAATGGATTCATCTTACATAGCCCTCTAGTTTCACAAAATGCTGGATACAGGATGCATATACAAATCTCATTCTCCCTACAGTACAAAATATTATCTAGTTGGTTCAGTCTGGTTGTTAAAAAAAGTTAGTCAAAATTTAACAGCAATAGCAGAGGAAGTGAATAGGGAATGACAGCTCTGAGGGCATACCAACATCAAAGGAGAAACATTTCTGGTTCCCTAATGAACATGGCACTTTGGTAAATGCTTGATCCCAACTTCCCTTCTTAATTAAGAATGGGGCTCCAGATGCACTCAGGTAGGAATTGGAAAAAGTCACCCATTATTCTTCTGTACTACTTTTGTTCACCATGGAGCAAATCCACATTGGAACTATCATCTGTTGAGGTTCTTGGGTAGAAACCAGAATAGGTCAGTAGTGCAAATGTGGCAGAGGAAGAGAAATAGTTCAGGCATGGAGGGTTCATGCAGGAAAGAAAATGGTCATAGTCTGAGTGCCAACACAGTGTGGGAGACATTGAACATCTTGTGCCCTCAACAATGGAGGAAGACCCACCTTTAACATTCAGTGTTACCTTAGATTTCCTGGGAGTAAATTTACTGGAGCCCTCATTTTGAGGTAATTTGCATGGAGCCTTTATCTCATGGAGCCCTATCTTGAGGTGATTTTCAGATCAGGACGATTGTTAGAACTCACTGTTGCTCAATTTAGATTACACCCTTGCTATACAGGTAGTCCTTGACTGCTTGGCTTACGACCACAATTGGGACTGGAATTTCCATTGCTAAACAATGGTTAAGTGAGTTGCACCTGATGTTATGAGCTTTTTTGCCGTGGTCGTTAAGTAAATCATGTGGTCGTTCAGCGAATCTGGCTTCTTGTTGGAAGCCAGCTGGGAAAGTCATAAATGGTGATCACATGACCCTGGGATGCTGCAACCATCATAAATACATGCCAGTTGCCAAGCACCCAAATTTTGATCACGTGACCATGGGGACACTGCATCAATCGTAAGTGCAAGGACCAGTAGTCACTTTTTTCCAGTGCCGTAATAACTTCAAACGGTCATTAAACAAATGGTCATAATTTGAGGACTACCTGTATTTTGCTACTATACCTGCTCAAACTGGGGAAGATAACAAAAGAGGGTCCAAGGAATATTGTAGGCATGTTTTTTCTATAGCAACATAGACTTAGCTTTTGTTTTTATTTGCTTCACATTACCAGCTATATTAAAACAATATAGGTTTGTACCTTCCTTTATAATTGTTATGTGGTTCACTATTCTTATTCAAGTATTTATGGGTATATTATCCTAACTCTTCATCGGCTTAGTGATTTTGTTTTATGTTTCCTACAGTAAAAATGCTGATAGCCACTTTCTGTTGTGATTATGTTGTCAGCTAGGTCAGTAAATCTATAAAATATCCTGCAATCTTTTGCTTGGTAAAACAATTTCTGTAGTGTTTGTCACTTGCAAGGCCATTTCTTTATGCAATGGAAATTCTTCTCTCTCTAGGCCAGTAGTATATACAATCCCATACTATTATTTTTTCTGAACAGTCCCAGATGAGTTTTAGTCTCAAACAATCCATGGTATTTTCCCCAGAGCTTCTGTATTTTATCATTTTGTAAGTGAAGTGGCAACTGGAAGATTAAAACCACAGTGTTCACAATGTCTCTGCCCAAGGCACTGGAGTCCAACAGCTTCAGAGTTTGTTTATGGGTAAAAAATGGGGGTATATAGAGTAAAAATGTAATTTCTTGTTGAAATCTTTCAGAATACTTTCCTATATAGGTGCAAGCTTGGCTTGTAGAATGTTGAAAAAGCTGAAATTTCCAGTTGTTTTATTTAATCTCCTAACTTACTATCTTGTACATAACTACAAGAAATGCTACCAAAAAAAAAAATGTTTAGGCTGTCTGGATGTACTCAGAACCTAATCAAAGCTTTCCACCTGTTTTTGTTTTAAATATTGTATTGCTCAGTAGAACTTTGGCTAACAGAATATCCAGGCAGATCTGCCTTACAATGTTTAGATATCTTAACGAGTAACTTAAATCTAAGTTGGCAGGCAGTCCAAAGAACTAACGTTATTCTACCCTAAACAAGGCCAACATGCTATTTCACCCAAAGGAACCAATTTATTTTTCTTTCCTGAGTCTGTTTTGAAAAGTCAAGTATCTTACAGGCTCTTGCTGCTTTATACCAATGTTGTCAGGCTGACAGGTCTGTTTTTTTATAAATAATGGTCTTTCAAAAATCTGAGTTTTGAGACTCTTCCATGAAGTGTGAACTAGAAACAACACATTATTAAGAATGCCTTAAATTCTATGTTTTGAAGCCTCTTGTATCTGAAGTAGTAAAATTCCAAATTCTTTTTATACTAAAGCAACTTTACATTACATTTAAATCTTCTGTTTTCCAATTTTTTAGAGCAATGCCATATTTTTATTTGTTAAATGTTAAAGGCATTTAAAGTGAAATCATGATGTCTGCCTTCCAAGCATATATATTCCTTCCAATCAGGGTTTTCCATTCACAATTAGATAGGTCACTAAAATGCCACATCTATTAGTAAAGTCCAAATTCCATTATTCTTATTCAAGAAATACACTGAGTTCACTGGTAGATGAGTTAAAGATTAATGGCTTTAATTTACCTTTTAATATAGCATAAATAAAAAGCCTCCAGTATAACACTCAAATGAACCATAACCATAGGGTTAATAGATTTTCATCAGCTTAATTTTATATAACAGTAGCAAATAATTATTTGTCATAGTCTTCACTGCAGTTTAAAAAATACCCTTAGGAGACAGCCATTTATGAAACAAGGAAAAGAGAGATATTGATTTTAGTTATAATGAATAATCTTTCAAGTAATTGTACTTGCTTTGTTAGCTAGTATAAGTTGAGCATTTTTTTAAAAACAAGATATTAGCTTTGTCATTTTTCCATCTGCGGTCGTCTATTTACGTGCTACATATTCAATATTCTTCTGTTTATTGCTAGGCATCTCAGTGAGGCAAATAGGTCTGTGTCGGTGTGTAAAATTCTTAGCACACATTTGACTCTTATGATAGCATCATGATAGCACTGTGGCATGAAATTTGGATATACATATTTTAAAACAGAATTCAATTTCTATTGGAATTAATAAAACAGCAGATGGGTTAGAAATGTTATAATGGCAAAATGTTCTGTATGGCAGAAGTATGCCTAAACAGCATTTCTTGTTCTGTCTCTGTGATTATCTCCTTGCATTCACATGGATATGAGGCTGGCAAAATTCCATTATAGGCTCAAACAGTCATGCTGAGTGCCTTGTGGAGTGTCGAGTCAATAAAAGAATATAGCTGTGTGGATTGGTCTTCAAACCATGCTTTTATTTTGAATGGGTTGCGTGAGATTCTAAGTCCTTGTATGTAGAAAATAGAAATCATGACCCAATCCTACTCTTAGATGTAGTGAAACAGGAGCTATTGCCGTTATCTTTTTCTTCAGACAACCATGCTTATACAGACTTATTGGTTAAAAGATCATTAGCAATAGTAGCCAGTATCAGTCTGTAAAAAAATATTAAAGATATATTCTTTTTTCCTTAATGTATAATAAATAGAATTTCAGAAGACTGGGATAAAGAAATATACGCATTTCATGGCAAGTCCATTTGCTACCTATGATTATGGCTCATTAGAGAATTAATACCCTACATTCAGATAGCCATAGTTCTCACTGTATTGACGTTTTACATTCAAAAATAATGGATAAAATACGTGTTTTATCCAACCTCTTTTTTATAGATCCCACCTCTGTAACAAAATAACTTGGTCTTATGAAATGCTAATTAAGGAATGCTAATTAAGGAATAGAAAACTAATGTGAACATTCTTTCATTATTAAAAGTCACTCTCCCTGTTCTAGGCAATTCAGCTGAGCCGTGATGGACAGTATCTCCTTACAGGAGGAGACAATGGAGTTGTTATGGTGTGGCAAGTGTGTGACCTCAAGCAGCTTTTTGCCTATCCCGGTTGTGATGCTGGAATCCGATCCATGACTCTTTCATATGACCAAAGGTGAGAGTGAGTTGGGTGTTGATTGCATCACTTCATACAGGATTTTTTCAAGTACAGAGCAGTTAGCAGCTACAGCTCAATAATTAAAAACAATGTGTTTTATAGTAATTCCCGCCAGGTGGCTTTTTTCAAGGTGAACAATTCCTACTTCAAAATAAGCAAAATTGTGGCTGAAGGATTCTATGCTTTATCAATCTAACTTCTAGACTGGGTTTGCTAGGTGTCATTGAACATTTCTGACCACACTAGTTTGGGATGACACATTTAAACCAGTCCCAAACCAGGGTTTCTCTTTTTGCAATGAAAAAATGGATAACGGATATAGCTGATGGAATGGAAAGAAATACCTAGGTCTTAAAATTATTGTTTGTTATGAGTTATCAAACACAACTTTATCTGTGATTTAATTTAATGTTGATAAAGCTATGTGTAGTTAAATGCTACTTCAGCATAAAGATTCTGTGGTCTTTTTTCTGTGTATTTTTCTTTCACAGGTGTATAATGACAGGCATGGCTTCTGGCAGCATAGTGGTTTTCTACAATGATTTCAACAGATGGCATCATGAATACCAAACCAGATACTGAAATTGGAATTAATCTGATGTGGCCATGCAGCTCTTCTCATACGGAGACTTGAAACATACACATCTCTCTTTAGTATCTTGCCAGAGTCTAGGTTCTTATAAATAGTTAATATAACATCTGAATGTAACTTAAATTTGCTGGAAGATGCTATTTTTTGAAGTTAATTGCTATTTTTGTAGACTTTGCCTGACTTTTTTGAGGTGGGGAAAAAGCAGAAAATGATTGCTGGGGTTCTGTAGCTTATAAAGAAAATCTATATTTTTAGTCATAGTAAATCTATTTTGATCATTCTCTTGGGGGGAAACTGGAATAGGATGGCTACAATTCTTGTATTAGCTATAATGAAACATGTTTCTCATGTAAATCTTTATAATATTATGGAATATTTGATTTTAACAATGGAAATTGTTATAACAAAGAAAGTTGGTTATAATACCAGCAATCAGTTATAATACTGGCATTTTAAACTGTGCTTATCCCTCCTCTCTCCTTTTGTCTTGTACTTTTACAGTGATAGCAGAACTTGAAGCACTGAATTTTCTGAAAATCAAGAATATTTAAATTATGATTTATGTAATTTTGTTTTCACATCTGTGTAATGATCAAGCATGATTCTAAGTCTAGATTATTAGTTTGGGAAACTTTTTATTAGTTATTTTGTTGTGCAGTTAGAGAGAAATAATCATAAGCAGAATGTATACATCAAGTGTATTCTATCCTTTCATCAGGCCCACTGTTCCTCAAAAGTAAGATCTATTTTGAGGATTTTAGAAGTTTTCTTCTATACTTTTTGAAATCATGTATGGATCCAGAAAATGCTTGTTTGCCTAAAACACATTTGGCCTGGAGATCTGCAACTCTTCTTGCAGCACCTAAAAAGGAAAAAGCTATTGTTTCTGTTACAGCAAAGCTAGTGAGAACTGTATAGCACAAGCCTTACATTGATCCTAAAATTAAGACACACTCCCATCAAATCTTATTCAATCATGCTGACAATCTCTCTTCCAGCTCTTAGGAAACTAAATAAAATTTATTATGAACAATGTTATTTTGGTGTTGCATAAATTCTACTTTATATAGGATTGCTGTGCAGAATTCTGTGATCATATTTGTGAAAACAATGGTATTGCTTTGTAGTATGTACTGCAAAAATTATTACTTGATATGTTGTGATTTAAGATTTCAAATTTACATTTCTCTGTCTCTGTTGGTATATAATTTCTTCAACGGATTATTGAAGCAGTTCACGTGTTTTTTCCTAACATTCAAACAGTCCTTCTTTATATAAGCATCAGAAAAGGGAAAATTCAGTTTGAAATAAGATATTAAATAAAAAAGACATTTGTATTTTAATGTTTCATTTATTACAACAGGAACACAGCTTGCTGATAAGAAACAATGGAGAACTCTGAAAACAAAATTATTGTAAATCTTGTCTCTTAAATAGGATTTTTTGGTTATAGTTACTGCTACATATACCAAACATTTTCAGAGAACACAGCAAATGTGAAATGTGTATTTATTGCTACACTTCTGTTAGCATAGTCCTAACACCATCTACAAATTTAGCCCATCTGTATGTAATGGATGATGGTGGTGGCCTTGAATTTTGCAATGATAGTTATACTCTCCCTTCCCCACCCAAACAAAAGCTTTATTAAATGTACTCAGATAATAGTTAGACCAAACCAGAAGTCTGGCTCTGCTCATATTATTGAGTGAAATGATACTTTAAAAAAACCTGAGCACTTTCATCCAATATAGGATGTATTAAAATAATATTATAATATTTTTTTAAAAGCACTCTTTACCACTGATATAGGAGATGTCTAAAAGATAATCACCAAAATCAGGAAGAAAAATTAATCCTTGCTCCTAAAATCCTCCCTCCTTTTGATTTTAAATTTAAATTAAAACATTTTAACTTTTGTAGCACACTTCCAACTTAATTTACATTGTTGTTCATTGCTTTTGCGCTGCGTGTGAACCCAAAGCACTGTTTAGACAGGAAAGGAAGATGACTTAAACTCCTATTCTTCTATGAATCTTGCCAAAAGTCCAGTCAACTGTCTAGCTGCAGCTGCTAGAGAAAGACTTTCCTAAATGGTGAGAGATGGTGGCATGCTGTATGTGCTTCATGGAGGGCTTGACATGGTATGTCTGTTCTTTGTTCTTCCTTGTGCTTCGTACAGACACGGTTCTGCTTTGCTTTGTTTGTTTGTTTCTTAAGGGGATGTGCTTTTTGATCTGAGGTGGGAGAGTTTTATTGGACATTTCCTTGTGCCAATCTTTTTGATGCCAAAATATGTTAACACAGAGAAAGCCTACAAACCCAGGAACTTTATTTCATTTTAGTTATATCAGTAAAGAATAGGTAAGGTATGAACTTCTGGATGATTTTTTACCAGAAACATTCCATCACCTTTAGCATATGGTCACACTGCCAGTCAGCTGAAGAAAGTTTTTTTAAAAAAATATTTTTATATAAAGCAATTAGAACGTCAACGTTTATAGTCCTAGTATAATGGGGAAAGGGATAGAAAATATGTAACTGTTTGTACATTGGGTTCAAAGAATACTGGATATGGTCCATCAACTTTTAAACAATTGAAACACCTAAGACTGAAAAAAAGAAACTAAATTTGTCACTAAATGCTGTTGTACATTGAGTATGATACTAAAATAAAATAAAATAAAATAAAATAAAATAAAATAAAGCCAGAAATCATAGGCATTAAATTATGCTAATTTAGTACCATTCTTTCTGCCTAGGTTACATTGTATACAGTTGACTAACACTGATTAATCTCAGAGCTATTCAAAACTAAGCTACTGAAGCACAGGCACAATATATTCCTGATTTTGTTTATGTTGACTGAAAACTGAGTACTTAAGTCTGAAGTTTCAGGTTTGCAGCCTGCATTGATTAGACTGAAAAGTGAAGTTGAATTTGACAAAGTAGTACACATGGTTAGGGGACATTGCCACAATCCAACACTGAAATTGTTTCCCACTTCTCACAGTTTGAACTCAATAATGTTTAGTAATACTGATTTCATAGGGACTATTTAAATCAAGAATGTAAAAGAGGTAGTTCTTTTTCCTTTACTTTTTTCTTTACTGTAGAATAGGAACAGGAACCAGTATTAGTAAGTATAAACAATACTGAGCTCAACTGATGAATAGTCTAACTGGGTAAAAACTATCAGAAGTGAGGAGGAGGGAAGGAGGGGGATAACATGAAAATTTCAAAAACATCATTTGAGAAAGCAAGTTAGAATCTATTACTTCTTCTGAAAAAATAATTTCTCTTAAAATGTATTTAAATATTTGAAAATGAAATGTTCGAAAAATATATTGGTCAGATTGTCTTTTACTCAAGTAACCTTTGTGTAGCTTTGCATAATCTTTATAGAAAATTCTAGAAGAATATGCATAATATTTATAGAAGCAAACAGAAAGCCTGAAATACTGCATACAATTATGAGGGACAGGAATTTCCAGATTTTTTTTTTTAATTATGCTCAACAACTGTTCTGATACTAGACTTGGTTAATAGGCTATTCCCTGGCACTTTTGCTGACCAACTTTAATACCAACAGGGAAGGGGATTAATATCTCTAATTGACACTAAAAGTGGCCACAGGGAAATTAAGACTATGCAAAGTATGCTATAATAGCTAAAATAAATAAAATCTCTTAGCAGTCATTGTGATTTAAACGCATAAGGAAATATTATTAAGGTGAAGACAATCGAAGTGTAAAACAAAATAGTTAATGTCTGGAAATAGCTGTCTGGATGTCAGGACAATTGTATACATCGACTCAGTAGAAATTCTTCTCTTGTAATGATACATGCCTGAAGCATATCAGAAAAATCAGTCTGGTCCTATGAAATAAAAGTATGTTGTCAAATTTGAGAACATAATGTGCACCCAGAACTGAAGGAAATCAAGGTAACTACATATTTTGGACTGGTTTTATAAATTCTCAAAATAAATTACTACTTACTCTTTTGAAGAAAAATGTTTATTGCAGATCTTAGTTCTAATGTAAAGAGCTAATAGAAAATGATTTAGAATTGTTAAAAAGAAAAAAGGAAACAAGCAGAGAACATACAATAATGGAACAAGCATTAATATATAACTGCATCTACCCTTCACTGCACATTTTATCATTATAGTTCCCCAAACATTTGATGTCTTTCTGAAAGAGTGGGCTAATTAAAAAAAAATGCTGAAAGCCTTCTGTGTGGGCAACTAGTAGTTCATTTATTACACTAGCTTGCTTTTTTTTAGATAATGCACCATGCAGCAAGCTTTCTATTCCGGAAAAAAAAAAACCTGTGGTCATTAATGACAGGGAAAGAGAAACAGGAGACAACCTGTGCAGAGAAATCTTCACTGATTGCAATTTTCAAAATACAGTCATTCATAAATGGGGTTGGTTGCAAAATGATTGTCAATGACTAAGTTATTCTGTGTTAAATTCCACAAGGTTTAAATTTATGTTCCCTATATATGTGGTCGACAGCAACTTGATGGCACATAATCAATCAAAACGTTTAATGTCAAAACTAAGTGCACCAACCATTCACATCATTACTCAAACCTCCACAACTTGACTTTCAATATTGTACAAATTGCCACTGGGACTAATCTTGCTACCCTCCAGGATCATTCTAGAACTGCATTTTAGAATTAATCAAAGGAATGAGTTTTGCTACTTTTTTGTCTAGTATTTTTTTTTTAGAAAATCTAGACTTTGCTGGGTGAGGCTTCTTAACAGTTATTCCTATTTAAAGTTTGTACATCCAGGTATGGTAAGATAAATTCATTTGTATGTTTGAAATTATGTTGAACACAAATCCATTTAAAAAGGTAAGAATCCCCAAATGTAATAGGCAGAATACTAAAATCTACTGTATATACAACCTGCATCCCTTTCAGACATATGTGAAAAAAATACAGTACTGTAGCAAGGGTAGGAGAACAGGAGCTGACCTAGCTGTGGATTTCATTAGAACTTATCTTAAATTACTCCTGCAGGATCATGACATGTTGATTCAAAGTATGTAGAGAGTCTGAGTAGCTGAGAGGCAGCAAGAGAAGACAACTTGTGATCAGTTGTAGGAGACTGATGAGCACGATTTATTTTGGTGGTTTACTTCACATCAGCTTGACCAGGGTTCTGACAGCGCTTGTTGCAAAATATCTGATTTTCTTTATCTAGAGCCGTGTTCTAAAATATAATTGTTTAGAAAAAGGTAAATCACATCACTAACTACTACTGGAGGTACATATAATAGTATTTCAAAACAATGACACATGCACAGTCTGAAGAAAAGGAAAAGTAACTTCTAAGGTCTTTTTCAAAGGTGGGAGGTTGTGGATTGTTTTGTAAGTGGTTTCTCACATGCATTGTATTAGTAAGGAGAACTGCATGAAAAATATTCTAATATAATTAATCAATAAAATTAATTTTAATGGATTGCTTTAAACTTCCAATTTGCAAATACAATGAAGAAAAAGTATACTTGCATGGTAAGTAATAAATACACGAATGAATAAATGAATGGGGATAAAACAGATGTCGTAAGAACTCAGTTCTTGCCCTATCTGGAGAGCCACTGTGGAGTTGTCTGAAGCTTTGTAAAGTTCAAACAAAGCACCCCCTTGAAGCTGTTTCACAAAGCAATATAGTCCCTTGCTTCTAGGAAGTGAAGTGAGCATACTGATTTACCTCACTGCGCTTCAGAATACCTTTTGGCCTTCTTTCACATCTGGGAGGCCTGTTGGAGAAGGCTAAGAGTATAGGTAGTATAAACTTATGCCAAACTTACGACCTCACTCCCACTGCAGTCATTAAGTGAATCACCCGTGGTCATTAAGCAAGATGTCATGTGACCACAACTTGCAATTTTACTGCCAGCTTATTTGACTGCTTGTTGTAAGCCAGTTGTGAAGCACACAAATGGAGATCATGTGACTGCAGGACACTGCAACAGTCATAAGTGCGAAGACAGTTATTTTTTTCAACACTGTCATAACTTCGAATGGATGCTAAACAGGGCAGTCATTAAGTGAGGACTACTTGTAGTCTTTTCTCACAGCACTAGCTGATGGTTGTCCAGGCTAGGTATCTCTGGCATGCAAAATTAATTAAACTTTAAAATTAATCCCCTGAAATTAATGGTGCCTATGTACAATATTTGCATACAGAATAGACGAATGCATTGTCTCCATCAGTTCCTGAAATCACAGTGAATAAAATTGTGCCTATGATACATCAATACACTGAATATACTTCCTAGGATATTTTCTAGATAGATAGTATGAACTGAATAATGTTTGGAGTGAAACAACTCTGCTTGGCTTGTCAGATTGCCCAAAATATGTGAAAATTGAAAATGTTCCCCTTAATATTAGCTGGGATAGTTGCACAGGTATAACAAAGATATGACCCTTCTCTGTCTTAATAAAAACTGTTATGTGAAACCCTCAATAGATGGTTTCAAGATGGGCAGGAATGATTAATATTGATAGGCTTATTTGGTAATAACTATGGCATATGGCACAGAGCCAGTATTATGTAGTGGCTAAAGGCACTGGGCTAAAAAGTGGGAGAATTTGCATTCTTGTCCTCCCTTATGCAAGAAGCCAGCTGGGTCACTTTGGGTCAGTCTCTTTCTGTTAGTCCTAGAAAGAAGGCAATGACAAATCACCTCCCAAAAATGTGGCTAAGAAAACTAGATGGACTTGGCCAGGTGTCAAGATGGACTTGAAGACACACACACAAGCAAGGCATTTGAAACACTGTGACTTAATATGTAAGACTATTAAATGGAAAATTTACCCATGAAATGGATAAATGAAAAAAGGTATGTTGTGCATATGTGAAACTAAGAGAAAAAGATGTGATTGTTCTGAATGAATATGGTCTGGTTTTGTGGAATGGAAATGAAGCATGCAGGAAAGTACAGTGTAGATTTAATTATGAATTAAAAATCTAAAATACATCAGAAGTATGAATTGGTATAATCTAGATTGTTGTAGAAATGTATGAAAGTCGGAATCCATCATTTGGGGATTGCTGTATATTACATTCCAGTGAATGGTAATAATGCAAGAACTAAGAATGAGTTTTGAAAAAAAATGTACAATATTCTCAGTGAATGAAATCCAGGAAGTTTTTTTTTAAAATAAATAATCAAACCCTCTTAGGTGGCATGAATGTATGGTGGGCATGAAATAAGAATATAGAAAAATGTGAGTTGGCTATTTGGATACCCAAGAATGAGAATGGAGACTGGTGAGTATCTGCTTATTAAATGGTCTGTTTGTTTCAAATACATGATTCAACTGTATGTCTATCCATGTGTGCATGAATATAAATTTAAAAGCATGATTGATTCGATTGTTTATGATGAAAGACTGAGAATCAACGAAAGACACACAAAAGATGAGAAATTCTGGATGTGGAACAGACCATTATTTGCTACTTTCAAGAGCACAAGATACGTTAATTTCCCAACAGAATGAATGGACAATTGACATGAGGATATGGATATTGCTTTCAACAGAGCAACAAGAATTATGTTAGTGACTGCCACTGAAATGTATAGATTAAGCCAAATGGGAAACATGAAAAAGGTTACTTGATAGAATGATGACGTGCAAAAGGATGCAAACAGCTGAGAAGCAAATGCATCTAAGAGAACTGCTGGAAAAAAATGACAATTTCATTGTCACATAATGATGATTACGTCTCATATAATGTATATTTACAGAGAAAGAAGAATGTTGTTAAATAGAAGTATAATAACAGATAAAATGCAGACCAATTTGAATGGAAAGAAAAAAATGTTTTGAAAATGGGGGAAAGGGATTAAACAGGCTTTTATGAAGGCCTTCAGAAGCCTTCATAAAATAATGAAATGATTTGGAATGAAACTAAAGTGAATGAATTCTAGAAGTTGTATTCTAAAGATTTGTTTTGGAAATACACTGATATGTCCAAAAGATAAATTGAAATGAATACCAATATTACTGTCCAAGAAAAGGAAGTCATACTTACTATATAAATGAATAAAAATGGTAAGGTTGCAGGTCTGGACAGTGTAACTGGAGAAATATTAAAATATTGATGCTATCTGTTTAGGAGAAGGCTGTATGAATCTTCCAGATGGCTGGAAGAATGTTGTTAGTGTTTTCCTATACAAAGGGAAAGTAACAGAATACTGATGATGATGATCACTGATGTTACCTAGTTGGATAATGAAATGTCTGCAAGCAAACAACTGAGCTCAGAGACAACCAAGGACTCTATGGTAACAAGAGTGAATGGAAAATATACAAGGTATTTAGCTCAGTGTGCTTGGAAACTTATTTGGCAGAATTCTGATTGAAGGTGTGAGATGTGACAATGACCAAAATTTGGGGACTGCAATGCTATCTGCCAGACACAGGATGTGTAGACCAGGTTTATTGTTCTTCAGTGGGTCACTATAAAAGTATGGATGTGTGATGGAATGGACTTATGAAGGCCAGGCTCAGGAAGATAAGCGTGTTCTTAGCCCCCAGAAGGAGCATGGGAAGTTCAAGAAGATGAGGCTGGCACCTCCCTAAGGAATTCATGGTGTTGTGGCTGGCTGGGTTTGGGAATAGGGTTCAGTCTTGGGGGATTTTCTGTCTGGGGTTTGTTACTTATAAACGCAACAGAACTGTATTTGCATTGTCTCTTGGAGTTCTTTGGGCTGAACCTGACAGGATGTGAGAAAGAAAGCACATTGTATAATGGTTGATTTCAGGAAAGTGTACAATAAAGTGAATAGGCTTGAATTATGGAATGTTTTAAGCAAATACAGTTGAAGTTTGGTTGCTGAATGTGGTATGTGATAGAACAAAGCATGGATAAGAATAAATGGAACACTTACTGAATGGTTCAATATTATAGCAGGTAATAAGAAAAGAGAGAACCAGTTTTGTGAAGTGATTAAGGTAGTGGCCTAGAGACTATGAGTTCTGGTCCCGCCTTAGGCACAAAGCCAGTTGGGTGACCTTGGGCCAGTCACTCTCTCTCAGCCCTAGGAAGAAGGCAAGGGCAAATCACTTTCAAAACCTTTACAACAAAACTGCAGGGACTTGACCAGGCAGTTTCAGGACTCAACATGGACTCAAGGCAAAAGAAGGGGAGGAGGATGAGGAGGAGGGGAGGGGAGGGGAGGGGAAAGGATAGGATGTGTGATGTTCCTTTGGCTGTTCAACTTGTTTATAGACAAATTATTAAGGAACTGTGATGGTAATATTGAGATATGTTGGCTATAAATGTTAATGTGCATGCACTTTTTATGAAGATGATCCCATGTTGTTGGCTAAGAGCCTGAATGGTTTACTGAGATTGTTACATAAGCCAGAATAATGCAACATGGAATATGGAGCTGAAAATCAATATACCAAAGGCCAATGTAATTGTATTTGACAGAAAAAAAAATGGAGCAAACAATTGTAAGGTATAAATGAATAGTGAAAATCTAAAACAGATGAATTTGTGTACTTTGATAGAATGTTTATTGAAGATGAGAAAATGGAGAAAGGTTGAATGTGCAAGTGATTATCAGATAACAGGAAGCATTCAGTATGTAAGTAATGAATGTTTCTTGGAAGAAACAAAAATCAATATATAGAAAAATATGTATCTGCCCACTTTATTATGTGGAAGTGATTCTCCTATCAAAAACATAAGACGAATGTAGTGAGAATGGGTTGCATAAAAATGTGTGTGTTGTAAAACAAGAAGAGATTGGTCAAGAATGAATGGCTGTGGAATAAATTAGATTGGATCCAAAACTGAGAGGCCAATAGGAAGCAGTAAGAGGCAGGATGGGTGGTCCTACAGCAGTAGGGACTGAAGATCAAATAACAAAACAATATATGAAAGAAGAGTGAAAGGGAGACCAAGGGAGTTGCAGTTGGAGGGAGTGATATAATCTCTTATCCCAGAAAGAGAGAGCAGAGAATTTGCAAGAACAAAAGGGACTGGATGTGGATCGGATGGAAGCAAGGCTGTTTGCAAGGACAGAAACGTGCAAAGAGACACAGCAAATGGTGTCAGTGTGAAGTATGTAAATCTAGGTGCATTCATCTTATCAGGTCTTTAATTTCTTTTGCTTATTTCTTACTCCTTTGCATTATGGTGCTTACTCTGAAAGGGAGTAACATATTGGGCATCTATGTATTTAAAGTACCCATCATAGGACCTTTATTAAATAATATTGCTTGTTTGTGTTATTAACCTGATTTTTGTTTCTCATTTGTGTCAGTTTACGTGATTTTTTTTAAAAGTAAAAATCTAAGAATGAAATTTAATTAGTTTTATAATTAGAGACCTAAACACCTAATATGAATTTATTTGCTTAACATTAAGTTTAGCATCTACAACTTACTTAAGCTAGCATGTGGCAACAAACAGAACTAAGATTTTACAAAAAAACTAACTGAAATAGAAATTTTGCTTTATAATGATTCTCTAGTAATTATATCTTTCACAGCACATGTTAAGATTTTGGGCCTTAGCTCAGTGAGAGAAAATAGCATTTGGCTGGTCATAACTACACATTTAGAATAAATTTTTTTCCTGGTACACTTTTTGTATGAGCAGGTTCAGAATCATGATGTGGAAAAATTTTAAAAATTCAACCATCCAGCTATGCAATGCAACACCCACAATGTTCTCACTGATCTCCAGATTTAAAAAAAATATAAAGTCAAATATCTTGTGAGCTAAATCCTAAATAACATCTAAAAATAAAAGTGTTACTCTTTTCTTTTTTAAAATTGGCACCTATGACACTGTGCAAAATAGTGATTGTGGCCACTGTTTGAGAAGATCGTGGACCAATGGTGTAAAGATTCCATAAATTGTTTTGACCATATATAGCTGACCTTGTGGTCAGTTGCTGACTGCTTTAGAAATATGACTACAGAAATGCAAATCCATGAGAATATGATGATAACCCCAACAAAGGTTGAGAATCACAAATCAGCCAAGGAAATGCTCTCAAAAAATTTCAGAACTAAACCTGCCCTATTTTGCAAAAGAAGGAGGAGGAGGAGGGAAGAAAGAAAGAAAGAAAAAAATAGAAAGGGGAAAAGCCCATGGGTTGTTTTTTGTTTTTTGTTTGCTTTTCAAAAGAATCTGTAAAAATAGAAAACATCATGTAATATTGAAATGGTTGAATGGTGCAAATATATCAATGCAATGAAAACTTGTTGGATGATTATACTGCATCACTTGAAGAAGCTTTCGGGTCCAAGACTGTTACAAGGTTACTTTTCCTTTTCTTTCAAACCCCAAATAATTTTTTTTAATTGTGGCAAAGAAGCATTGTAATTAGTACATACCATTGCCTTGGACCTATTCAGAGGGAAGCAGCGCAGGCATTGGGAAAAGGAGCAAAAGAAGAAAGCAACGGACAGACACTAGACTTACTGGAAGCAGAACCAATCACATTGCAACATTTACAAATGTAAATAAATCATTTTGATATTCAAAAAGCAGCACTGAAACCTTCCTTACATGACCTTCCTAAGAATCAAAAGAAGAAATTGCAAGCCATTTCTAAACATGTGTTTTTTCCTCTTCTATTAAATGAGAACTGTTTTTGAGCACAACATTTCACTGAACTGAAATGAAAATGAGTGTTATTCAAGACATTTGTGTGAATGGGCTCAGAAGCAGCTGATATTCACTTGATAAATTGGAGGTAACTTGTTTATATTATACTGTATGTGCTATGATCTTAACCTAAATAAATTCCATTTTAAAATTTCCCTGTTGTTGATAAAACAAACAGAGTTCCTTTGGATATATTCCTTGGGTTTTACTATGCCCTATTGTTTTTATACAAGCATCCAGAAATTACAGTTCTTAGCAGAAGATAGCTAAAATACCATGATAGGTATTCAGAATCTGGCGGCGTTTTTGTACAGAAGTCTGAAAGCCTAAAAAATGACATGTGACACCCATGTACTCTCCCACCTCCTCTGATGATATGGTGGACAATGACAAGTGTATTTCACCCAAATATCCTTCATATGAGAAATGAAGGTAGCAAATTGGCTTACCTGTACCTAGCAATATAAAGCAACCTGCAACTATATCCAACTTGGAAGAACAGGCAACAGGTCAGCTTTGAACAACTGTAGCACTTGTTAGAAGGTTCTTGATAAAATTACTCTGGTTTTGTACTTCTCAAAACATTTTTTTTAAAAATGGCTGTATTTCAGGGTTCAGCAAGAGTGGACTGGGGGCCATGTACAGCCTACCAGCATTTATTTTATGACCACTACAGCTGAGGGCAAAAATTTATGTTTGCTTTTTTGTTAAGTAGATCTTTAAGGCATTCATTTACTCTGTAACATTACAGAAAATACTTCCTAAAATGGGTTCTACCCCCATCCACTTTGAGTTAAGCCTCGAGTGACTCTCAAGCTGAGAGACACTGTGCTCCTTTCTACAATTAAAACTATTCACATTATTCTAAGTCCTAAATGAATCAAAAGTTACTTTGTCACAGAAGTTATATAGTATAATTTAGTTGTTGGGATAATAGCCTTTACCAGCAGGAGAAAAGATAAGGAAGGATAAATGGAAGTTAAAATTACAAGTGTGTAAGATGTGCTTCATTGCCTAGAAGGCTAGAAAATTTTGAAAAAACAAGAACTTTATATCAAAAAGAAGCCAGAAGCTGAATTATATTTATGACTAGAAACAAGCTTAAAGAATGTGCAAATTTGCAAGAAGCTGTGAGTTAGCATTTTAAAATCATTTTATTTAATAATGGATTTTATACCAGGTTGTGCTTCAGGATTATCCAAAGTCTCAAAAATACAAAATATTGAGCTCTGAAGTCTCTCAGACTGTCAAGTCAAACTGTCAAATGAAATGCAAGCAACACAATCAGCCTGAATTATTTTTCTTTGCTTCTCAAACTAGTCTACTTCATCCTAAAACAAAACATTACTTTTAAAGCTGGTACATGTTAGAAAAAAATAAACAAGAAGTGATCAAAAATAAAAAATTCTTTCTCCACCCCCCAGAACCTGGTTTTCTTCAGCCTAAATTTGCTCAGTATGTCTAGCAGTCCTCGAAATACCTATTGGTGCTGCATTTTAATGATTCAGTGGAAATAAAAACTGACTGCTAACATAAATAGCATCTTTAAGAACTTCATTGCCAATAGGCTATATTTCATGAAATAAAATTATTTCCAGTGCAAATGTAAGAATTAAAAGGACAGATGATTAGGCTGAATTATGGCAAATCATGTGCTTTGGGTAGCACTGTTTACTTTGGTTTAATTACACAATTTTAAAACAGAAAATCTCAAAGAGAACAGTTTTGTCAAATGTTTAAATTTTCTTAAAAATGCATCCTTTGCACACAGAGACATTGACACAGCCAGAAAATATGCACCATTATTTTATAATGAAATAACTTTATAGTTACATCTCTTCAGGAAAGAGTTGGAAATATCCAATTAGTAAATTAATTGGTAGAAATGATGCACTTGCTTACCATGATAATAGAAACTCCTGCATTTGGGTTATTCTGTTTGGGAAGTGTGTTGTTAAAGTGCTGCTTTAATTTACCTGTTACTTCAGCTTGCATATTATTTTCTTGAGAGGCATCATCCTTTGTAAAGAAGGGAAGAACACCGTTATTGAAGCACTGGAACAATATGGGAAATTAGCCTAGACACACTCAGATGAACATCCATGATAAATGAATAGGCCTTCAGCATCCCCTAAGAAAGAGACCCATTTTGGAGAAGTTTCCTCTTTTCACCTAGCAAGTCATTTTCAGGACTAACTCTACTGATCACCTAGTGAGTTCCTGCCTAACAGGTTTCTTTTGAGTTGAAGGCTTATATCTGCCATTAAAATTCTTTGATACTTTCAGAAGCAATTACCTTCTTCAGTTATTTAAAGAAGTTCCACCAACAAGCCACACCTCTTCTATAATCAGCAAATGCACTGAATGCAAAGGGGGAGAGGGGGTGTTGAACCATTAAAAAAAATAGCCAGAACAGTAAGTACACTCCATTCCAATGCTTCATCATTAAGCAAAATGGTCACTAAGCAAACACATGACCAAGAGGGAGAGAAAGACACCACAGAGTTCACTGGTTGCTGCTCTCATTCAGATAAAGTTCTCTCATACAGTGTCCTGTGCCTGACCCATTTTCTCCCTTTTTTGCCCCCTCAGAGAACACAGAGATTGCCTAAACAAGGGATGTCTTCCTGAGCTGCATTTTTCTGCAGCACAACACATCCCTAAAAAGTGCTAACAGCAAGTTAACAAGCTCAGCTCTGTGATCTTAATTAGTTGATTAGAATCCTCTGGCAGGCTCTCACTGCTGCCTGAAATTGACCAGATCTTAATCAGTTTCACACTGAAGAATTTTGTTGTCAGGTGCATCAAATTTGGTTGTAAAAGCACCTATTGGTCAGAAAATAAATTTTTATTACCATTTATTACCCTTATATTTGCAAATGGTGGCTAGCTAAGCTAGTTGCTAAACAAGGAGTGGCTGTATGTTGCTTTAGAGGCGTAACCTAAACCATTTCACATCAGGTGACCTTTTAAAATTTTATTTAAATGTGTAATATAATAAAGTATTTTACTCACTGATACCCAAGGATGGTTTAATATCTGAGCAGCTGTATATCGTTCTTCCACATTTACTTGTAGCATCAGACTTATTAATTCCTGAGAAACAACAAGAAGTTGAAGAAAAGATTCAGCATGATGCACTTTGTATTAAACAAAGGAGTAGCAAAACCCCAGAACTGAACAAGCAGCCGAGGACTTGGGCCAATACAACAGAACACAAAGGGAGAAGCATGAGGTTAGGATAGGAACTCAGAGTTTTGCAGGGAGACACAACACCAAGACAACTATATGGTGCCACTCAAAATCTCAGATGTTTCCACACCAATGCACAGAGTATGAGAAATAAAGAAAAACTAGAGATGCTAAGTCAGGACCACAAATAGAATCTGACAGGCATCACTGGTACACTGCAAGATTATAACCTGTTCAAAAAGGGGAAAATTTAGAAATGCTGGGGGTATTGCATAGTACATAAAGAAAAAATATACCTGCACAGGAATTCAAGAATTGTAAAATGAAATGGTGAAAGTGTTTGGGTAAGAGGAAAAGGAAAGAGAAACAAATGTGATACTATTATGGGGTTAATTATAGATCACCTGGGCAAGAAGAAAATGTGGATGAGGCCTTTTTCCATCAGATGACCAGACTTTCAAAGAGTCATATAAGAGAGAGAATGGGGAGATTTCAATTATCCTGACATCCATTATTCTGACATCTGTTGAGAATCTAATTCTGCCAAGACCCGGAGGTCCAACAACTTCTTGCACTCTTTTCCAATAACTTCATTTGTCAGAAGGTGAAGGAAAGAATACAGGAGTCTGCTTTCCTAGATCTAACCATCTCCAATAGGGAGGAACTGGTTGAAGAAGTGAAAGTGATTATGTGATTTATGAATTTATGACATCCATGTGAGGAGGAACTGAGAAGAGTCAGATTTGTATTCTGGACTTCAGAAGTACAAATTTTGATGAACTCTAAAAGAAAGTAGGTTAGATAGGTTAGAACGTAGGTCTTGAAATCCTGAGGGCGAAAAATATCCAAGAAGGATGGGAAATCATATGAAAAAAGATACTAAAGGCATAGTCAGAAAAATTCCTACAAGAAACACAGATGGGAAAAATGTAGAGGCCATCATGGGTATATGCAGAATTCTTTTGATGATAAAGGAAATTGGGGGAGAGTCACTTAACTAAAGAAGTCTCCAGAAACTACAAGAAATGTCAGAAAGGTTCAGAATCTGCTGAGGCTTTCAAGAAATACAAACAAAAACAGCAACAAAATTCTTTGAGCATGTTAAAAACAAAAGAAAAGCCAACCAGAGTGTAGTGTAGATTGCAAAAAGAAAGTGTGAACTATATGGACTATAGTGATAAGACAACTTAATTCTTATTTTATGTCTGTTTTCTTGCAGAAGGGAAATAAAGTTTTGTACTGTCATTATTTTGCCGTGCGGGAAGAATGAAACTTCTTATTAGGCAGACATGGATAAATTCTGGTCTTCAGGACCATGTGTATTATATCCTATGATACTGAGGGAACTAGCAGAGATAAATACAGAACTACTCTCAATAATTTTTGTGAACAGCTGGAAAATGCAGAGATCCCAGAAAGGTGAAGAAGAGCAAATGTCACTTCATCCACAAAGGGGGGAGAGGTGGGGGAAGGAAGATCCAGAAAATTACAGAGTTGCCAGCTTTACATCTCTACTGGGTAAGATCCTTAATATTGCCATTTCTTAAACAGCATGTTTGTGATCATTTGCATAAGCATGTTAGTTAACAGAAACCAGCATGGCTTTGCCATAAATAAATCATGCCAGGCTAACTTTATCTTATTCTTTTAGAGAGTTATTAGCTTGGTATATCAGAAGTCTGCCATACATATTATGTACTTGGATCTCAGCACAGCTTCAATGAAGTTTATCATGAGCTTATCCTTAGTGAAATGATAAAATAGGGAGTAGATTATACTACCGCTAGATGAATTCACAATTAGTTGCATGAATGCACCCAATGGGCACTTGTTAATGGCTTAGCTCCAGCTTATGGAAGTACTGAGTGAAGTATTATGGGGCTCCATTCTGGGCTCTGCATTCTTCAACATTTTATCAATGATTTGGATGACATAACTGAGGTGTGCTTATTAAGTCTGCTGATGGCACAAAGCTGGAGAGATGGCTACTACTTTAGAGGAGAGGCAGAAGATCTAGACAGTCTTGAGCAGTGGACTGAAATGTAAAATTCTGCATCTGGGCAGGAAAAATAATAGGCACAGTTACAGGTTTGGGGAGATATGGCTCCAGTGTAAAAAGGATTTGGGTGTTCTTGTTGACTACCAGTTAAACATGAGCCAGCAATGTGCTGTAGCTACTAAAAAGACAAGTGCTATCATGGAAAGCATTAGGACTTCAAATTGTGGGAAGGAATTTTTCTAATCTATTCTGGACAGACTCCATTTGAATATAGTTCCAGTTCTGGGTACCATAGTTCAAAAAGGACAGTGACAAATGTGTGCAAGTTCATAGGAAGGCTACCAAGCCCATGAGAACAGTTTAAAGGAACTGGGTGTAATTAGCCTACTGAATAGATGTCTCAAGGGAGATATGATAGGAGTCTTCAAGTATATGAAGGCTTGTCATATAGAAGTGGGTTTGTTCTACATTGCCTTAAAGGACAGGCCAGAAGCAGATGTTTAAAACTACAAGGAAATAGTTTTAGTATAGACAGTGGGAAGAATTTCCTGACTGTATAAACTATCATTGTGAACCAGGCTGCCATGTGGAAGTGGTGAGTTCACCTTTACAGGGGTTTTCAAACAGAGACTGGTCATCTATTAGAGATGCTCTACCAAATTCTGTGCTGAGCAGAGGATTGGAGTACATGATGTCTGAAATCCCTTCTAACTCTGATTCCATCATTCTAAAATGGGGTCTATTTTTGTCAGTATTTTCCCTTAATTTTCACATATTTTAGACAGCGTAAATTCTGTCTAAAGATTTTTCATCAGGAACATTAAAGTCGGCTGTGCATTCATCAAATTAAACAAAAAACCAGCTACTCAAGGAAGCAGGCTAAGTGAAAAAGAAAAGAATACAGCAGGGAAGCACTCATTCCTTAAAGCAGTGTTGTCCAAACTTGGCCACTTTAAGATGAGTGGACCAACTCCCAGAATTCCCCCCCCCCCCCCC